AGATGAACCCAGAATATGAACGCAACGCGTTTCTCCTATTGAAAGTCACGTAAAGCTTTTTCTTTAACGGTTTTCTATGGGAGGAAAATGCTTAACGTAGCCTAAGTTATAATAAAACGCGTTGCGTTCATATTCTGGGCTCATCTGCTTTTCTGTAGGCTATATAGTATGCTTTATTAATATAAGGTGTGTACAGAATTTGATCTTTTAATATAACAGTTTTAGGACAAAGCCGTTAAGCGTTTTTCACGTTAAGCGTTTTAGAATGTATTTTATCCGCGCACACAATTTGAAAAGACTCAAACGGACACAGGCTGAGTGAAAGACTGGATTTAGTTTTTTCGATCAGGTATGGATAAGTGATTTCAAAACATTTCAGCCGGTTCTAATTTGATTTTTGGATACTGTGAACACGTTTAGCTAAAAAGACTGCCGCTCCAGTTTAAGCGTTTATTGTTGTTTCTGCAGTTAAAAAGACAAAGTTGACCATCCTGGCCATACTTTCGTTATTTTAATAATTTCTTTATTTTTATTTTATTAATTGATCACTCAGGGTGATCTAATTTAACTATTTGTGACTTGTGTTTTGAATATTTGTTCCCCTGCACTTTAGGCATTTTGCACACATTTGTTCTGCTTCTTGTGGTTTGATTCTGACTTATACTTTTATAATAAATAAAAATACAAAACGAAATATTATGTTCTTAATTGTTGAATATTTTTCAGTGCATCGATGTTGCGCTGTAGGCCTACATAGAGCATGCTCGTACAGGCAATTCAGCCGATTTAATTTGATTTGCATGTGAAATGCAAATCCTATCTGCAGTGTGGCCTTTCTGCAGTTATTTATGTTATTTCTTAGTTTTATTGATCCAAAATGTTTTTATACATTTTCTTCTATATCTTTGTGTGATGTTCTGTACATCGCGGCTTTAAAATGTTAAAGCCCCGCCCCCGCCCACACATGATTCGACTATTAGTCGACTATAGGCAGGACCTGACGAATCTGATTCGACTATGAAAATCCTTAGTCGGGGACACCCCTAATATTTTGCTTTTGACATTTGAAATTTAATCAGAGAAATCATAATTTAAACAAACTAAAACTAAATTTAATAAATATGAATTATTTTAATACAATTTTTAATATAATAAATTGCCACTTCTCAAGATAAAACTTTATATAATTTTTAGATTTTAAAATATTATATAACAAAATGGCATATAAAATACAGCATATACAGGTCCTTCTAAAAAAAATTAGCATATTGTGATAAAGTTCATTATTTTCCATAATGTAATTATAAAAATTTAACTTTTATATTTTAGATTCATTGCACACCAACTGAAATATTTCAGGTCTTTTATTGTTTTAAAACTGATGATTTTGGCATACAGCTCATGAAAACCCAAAATTCCTGTCTCAAAAAATTAGCATATCATGAAAAGGGTCTCTAAACGAGCTATTAACCGAATCATCTGAATCAACTAAAAAAGGGTCTCTAAACGAGCTATTAACCGAATCATCTGAATCAACTAATTAACTCTAAACACCTGCAAAAGATTCCTGAGGCTTTTAAAAACTCCCAGCCTGTTTCATTACTCAAAACCGCAATCATGGGTAAGACTGCCGACCTGACTGCTGTCCAGAAGGCCATCATTGACACCCTCAAGCAAGAGGGTAAGACAGAAAGAAATTTCTGAACAAATAGGCTGTTCCCAGAGTGCTGTATCAAGGCACCTCAGTGGGAAGTCTGTGGGAAGGAAAAAGTGTGGCAAAAAACGCTGCACAACGAGAAGAGGTGACCGGACCCTGAGGAAGATTGTGGAGAAGGACCGATTCCAGACCTTGGGGGACCTGCGGAAGCAGTGGACTGAGTCTGGAGTAGAAACATCCAGAGCCACCGTGCACAGGCGTGTGCAGGAAATGGGCTACAGGTGCCGCATTCCCCAGGTCAAGCCACTTTTGAACCAGAAACAGCGGCAGAAGCGCCTGACCTGGGCTACAGAGAAGCAGCACTGGACTGTTGCTCAGTTTTGCATGTCATTCGGAAATCAAGGTGCCAGAGTCTGGAGGAAGACTGGGGAGAAGGAAATGCCAAAATGCCTGAAGTCCAGTGTCAAGTACCCACAGTCAGTGATGGTCTGGGGTGCCATGTCAGCTGCTGGTGTTGGTGCACTGTGTTTTATCAAGGGCAGGGTCAATGCAGCTAGCTATCAGGAGATTTTGGAGCACTTCATGCTTCCATCTGCTGAAAAGCTTTATGGAGATGAAGATTTCATTTTTTCAGCACGACCTGGCACCTGCTCACAGTGCCAAAACCACTGGTAAATGGTTTACTGACCATGGTATTACTGTGCTCAATTGGCCTGCCAACTCTCCTGACCTGAACCCCATAGAGAATCTGTGGGATATTGTGAAGAGAAAGTTGAGAGACGCAAGACCCAACACTCTGGATGAGCTTAAGGCCGCTACCGAAGCATCCTGGGCCTCCATAACACCTCAGCAGTGCCACAGGCTGATTGCCTCCATGCCACGCCGCATTGAAGCAGTCATTTCTGCATAAGGATTCCCGACCAAATATTGACTATTGAGTGCATAACTGAACATAATTATTTGAAGGTTGACTTTTAAAAAAAAAAACACTATTAAAAACACTTATTTTATTGGTCGGATGAAATATGCTAATTTTTTGAGACAGGAATTTTGGGTTTTCATGAGCTGTATGCCAAAATCATCAGTATTAAAACAATAAAAGACCTGAAATATTTCAGTTGGTGTGCAATGAATCTAAAATATATGAAAGTTTAATTTTTATCATTACATTATGGAAAATAATGAACTTTATCACAATATGCTAATTTTTTTAGAAAGACCTGTATATATGTGTGTGTGTGTGTGTGTGTGTGTGTGTGTGTGTGTGTGTGTGTGTGTGTGTGTGTGTGTGTGTAAATTGCCATCTTTTGTAAACAAATATTTAATATAATAAATTGCCATTTCTTAAGATAAAACATAATTTTTAGGTTTTATATATATTATAAAATAGTATATATTTTGCACTAAAATTATAATAACGTGTGTGTAATATATATATATATATATATATATATATATATATATATATATATATATATATATATATAAAATTGTATTTACATTTATTATAATAAATTGACATTTCTTAAAATACAACTTTTATATAATATTTATCATTTATATATTATATTATGACAATACAACATAAAAAAACTGTGATATATATATATATATATATACACTACCGTTCAAAAGTTTGGGGTCGGTACGATTTTAAATACTTTTAAAAGAATTCTCTTCTGCTAACCATGGCTGCGCTTATTTGATTAAAAATACAACAAAAATCAGTTATAGTATTAAATATTATTCCAGTGTAAATCAGCTGTTTTCTGTGTGAATATATAGTAAAGTGTAATTTATTCCTGTGATCAAAGCTGAATTTTCAGCATCACCAGTGTCAGTGTCTTCAGTGTCAAATGATCCTTCACAAATCAGTATAATATGAGGATTTGATGCTCAAGAAACATTTATTATTATTATCAATGTTGAAACAGTTGTTGGTCTGTCAGTTGTACAGTTTTTTGATGAATAGGGTTAGGGTTAGAATCTTTTGTAACATTATAAATGTCTTTACTGTCACTTTCGATCAAATTAATTATTCCTTGATAAATAAAAGTATTGATTTCTTTCCTTCAAAAAATAAAAATAAAATTCTCACTGACCCCAAACTTTTGAACGGTAGTGTATATATATATATATATATATATATATATATATATATATATATATATGCACACAAACACATGTACATACACACACACAGGAATGAATTAGTTATTATTAACAGCTACTAATTTAATACAAATATTTAAATTAACCTGATGTCCTTGTCTTGCAGTAGATTTGTTTATTCACAGGTTAAATGTGACTCTGTTTTGATGCGTTTCATTTCTCTTCTGTCTTCAGAGTCAGTTCATCGAGCTGTGCAAGACTCTCTACAACATGTTCAGCGAAGACCCGAGCGAGCAGGAGCTGTATCACGCCACCGCCACGGTCACCAGTCTCCTCCTGGAGATGGGAGAGGTGGGAAAACTCTTCAACTGTCCCAACAACAAGGACAACGAGGAGGAGGAGGAGGAGGACGACGACGAAGAGGACGACCGCATCCCAGTGCGCATGAGCAAGCGAGAGAGAGCGAGACACAAACCTAGCGATCCCGAGATCAACTCCTGCATCACGGGCCCGTTAGACATCATCAAACCAGAGGATTCGTCACCCAAAGACACGGGCACGTCCTCCGCCATGCTCATCTCAGACGACGAGACCAAAGACGACACGTCCATGTCCTCGTACTCCGTCCTGAGCGCCGGCTCCCACGAGCTGGACGATAAGCTTCAGTGCGAGGACATCGCGGACGACACGGTTCTCATACGCAACGGCGGGACGCATAGAGGAGCGGTGCATCATGGGAGAGGTGGTCTCCCTCACAGCGCCAGCGTGGATAAGGACTGGGCCATCACGTTCGAGCAGTTCCTGGCCTCTGTGCTCACAGAACATGCCCTGGTCCAGTACTTCGAGAAGCCCGTCGAGATCGCAGCAAGAATTACCAACGCCAAGAACGTTCGCAAGGTGGGACAGCAACACATGTCCGTCAGTGACTATGAGATCTCGCTATCAGGCTAACGTGCCACAAAAAAACTATTACCCCTCCATTTTACAAACTGTAGTTCATCCAAAAATGAGAAATCCAGCATCATTTACTCAGTCATGTCGTTCCATGATTTTTTATCTTCTGTGAAACACAGTTATTTAGTGGAAAGTTAATGCTAGTTTTTTACCCACACAATGACAGTAAATGGTGACCATCTCCATCAAGCTAGAAATTGACAAAAAGCACCATAAAAATTGCTTTTTCTTAAAGGGATAGTTCACCTAAAAATGAAAATACTCGCCCTCGTGTCATTTCAAACCCGTAATATTTTAGATCACCTTCGGAACACAAATGAAGGTGTTTCTAATGAAATCGGAGAGCTTTCTGTCCCTCCATTGACAGGCTACGCAACTTCGTCGCTTCATAAAGTTCATAAAGAGATCGTAAAACTAATCCATATGAATTGAGCGGTTTAGTCCGAATTTTCTGAAGAGACTCGATCGCTTTATATGATGAACAGATTTAATTTAGATTGAGTTCATGAATATATGTGAATAAAAGCCTAAATTCAATCTGTTCATCATGTAAAGCGATCGAGTCTCTGAAAAGTTTCTGAAGCGTCAAAGTTGTAGTTGCGTAGCCTGTCAATGGAGGGACGGAAATCATTAAAATATCATTAAAAATAGCTTTATTTGTGTTCTGAAGATGAACGAAAGTCTTAGGGGTTTAAAACGACATAAGGATAAGTAATTAATAGCATAGTTTTCAACTATCCCTTAAACCATACAATAGCAAATAACCACTTAAATTCTAGTTTGTTCCTCGCACAAACCTATTGAACGACTCGGATGTTTTGTAATAATAATTCATTTGGCCACTTTTATTGTCATTAGGAGGTCAAAATCTCCAGTCCCCATTAACTTGCATTGTATGGAAATGAGCAGCATGGACATTCGGCTAAATATCTCCTTTTGTGTTCTACCTTAAAAAGTCCAAATTTGGATCAACATGAGGGTCAGCAAATGATGAGAGCTTTCATTTTAACTGGCCTCCTGATTCATCTCCTCTAAACCAATAAATCAGAGCGAGACTTCAGAGGCTTCATGTCTGCGTGAGCTCGTTACGGACCGACTGTAACGAGTTTCCCCGCAGGCTCGTCATGTGACCAACAGAACGACCTTTTTACCTGTACAGAGTCTAATAGAGGAACTGTTGGATAATACAATGTGCTTGATGTACTTTATATACAGAAATGTTTACTAATAGTATCTAATACAGTTAGACTGTTTATCACAGTAATCGTGACTAGAATAGCTCACTAGTCTGAGAAAAACATTTTCTTAATCCGTATTTTTAGGTTGTGTTCCAATAAATGTATCTAAAAAAAAGTTTACTTGGGGAAACAAAACTGCGTGCAATCACATGAAAATATATTGAATTTATTCATTTTTATTTATTTATTTTTTTGGGAAAAGGATGAACCTCAATAGAAATGTTTAGATTTATGCTATACAAACAATGCCATTTTAAAACACATTTATTTGGAAGAACAATACAATTAAACGGCATACTTTAATATATATATCATATTCTCTGAAATAGCCTCGTGCAATCTAGATATTTTTACTTTTTAAAATAAGACAAAAATACAGATTAAGAGAATGGTTTTGTTTTTACAGTATAGTAAAGCATCTTTAATGTGAGAGCGTTCACTGGAATAATGGGGAAATGCGTACGTGAGGTTTAACTGGGACGTGAAATACTGGGATTGTTGGAACGATGTGCCACAAAATCACCTGTAATTTCCCAGATTTCTCGTTTCTCTCTTCTCTCACTTCCTTTGCACCTGCACTTTGGGTTTCTCTTCTTTGTAAAAAGTGAGAATGTTCGTAACCTGAAGTCTCCGATATGATGCAGTCCATCTGTGTATATTAATATCTGACGTTCACTGTTTATTATAGTGTATCCTGTACTGGTTTTCTCTTGCTGTGTTCTCACCAGGCATGATGTCTGTGCACCTTCTCCTAACTTTTTTTTTTTTTTTTTTTTTTTAAATAGACGAGTTTCTACTTTATTTTATGCTGCTGTTTTTAAGTTTCTGTTTTTTTATTGTGAATTGTTCAAATTGACCTGTAAATGATTCAGACCACTTCCCGGAATTAAACGTATAAAAGGAAACGTCCTGTCCTGTTGTCAGACACTCTTCAGTTCTGTTTCATTTGCTGCTTGGCGTTTCCGTGAATGAGGTACAGAAAGTGGTGTGAAACTATTAAAAAGCAAGTAAATCGTCTCGGTGAAAGAACCTTTAGGAAGTGTTTTTGCTCCATCTCAGGTCAACCAAAAGTTTTACCCAAGTTTTTGAGACATGCTTAATGTCATTTAAGACCCCGGTTGATGTGGTTTCATTGTTTTTGATCAATAAATCTTAAACCGAAAAAAAAAAAGAAAAAAAAACATTTGTAGTGAAATTCTGTAAGTTTAAATAATTTTTATTTTTTTACATAGAATGGGTAAGAACAGAGATTTAGGCTGAATAAAGCTTCCTTTTAACCTTTAAACTTTTCGGTGGACAGGGAACGCAAAGTTTCTGGGGGACATTGTATGTCTCTGGGGGACATTTTATGTCTCGGGGGACAGGGAACACAAAGTTTCTGGGGGACATTTTATGTATCGGGGGACAGGGATCGCAAAGTTTCCGGGGAACATTTTATGTATCGGGGGACAGGGATCGCAAAGTTTCCGGGGGACATTTTATGTCTCGGGGGACAGGGATCGCAAAGTTTCCGGGGGTTTATGTCTCGGGGGACAGGGAACACAAAGTTTCTGGGGGACATTTTATGTCTCGGGGGACAGGGAACGCAAAGTTTCTGGGGGGACATTTTATGTCTCGGGGGACAGGGAACGCAAAGTTTCCGGGGAACATTTTATGTATCGGGGGACAGGGATCGCAAAGTTTCTGGGGGACATTTTATGTCTCTGGGGACAGGGATCGCAAAGTTTCTGGGGGGACATTTTATGTCTCGGGGGACAGGGAACACAAAGTTTCCGGGGGACATTTTATGTCTCGGGGGACAGGGAACACAAAGTTTCTGGGGGACATTTTATGTCTCGGGGGACAGGGAACGCAAAGTTTCTGGGGGGACATTTTATGTCTCGGGGGACAGGGAACGCAAAGTTTCCGGGGGACATTTTATGTCTCGGGGGACAGGGATCGCAACGTTTCCGGGGGACATTTTATGTCTCGGGGAACAGGGAAGGCAAAGTTTCTGGGGGGACATTTTATGTCTCGGGGGACAGGGAACACAACGTTTCCGGGGGACATTTAATGTCTCGGGGGACAGGGAACGCAAAGTTTCCGGGGGACATTTTATGTCTCGGGGGACAGGGATCGCAACGTTTCCGGGGGACATTTAATGTCTCTGGGGACAGGGAACGCAAAGTTTCTGGGGGACATTGTATGTCTCTGGGGGACATTTTATGTCTCTGGGGGACAGGGAACACAAAGTTTCTGGGGGACATTTTATGTCTCGGGGGACAGGGAACGCAAAGTTTCTGGGGGGACATTTTATGTCTCGGGGGACAGGGAACACAGTTTCTGGGGGACATTTTATGTCTCGGGGGACAGGGAACGCAAAGTTTCCGGGGGACATTTTATGTCTCGGGGGACAGGGATCGCAAAGTTTCCGGGGGACATTTTATGTCTCGGGGGACAGGGATCGCAACGTTTCCGGGGGACATTTTATGTCTCGGGGGACAGGGAACACAAAGTTTCTGGGGGACATTTTATGTCTCGGGGGACAGGGAACGCAAAGTTTCCGGGGGACATTTTATGTCTCGGGGGACAGGGATCGCAAAGTTTCCGGGGGACATTTTATGTCTCGGGGGACAGGGATCGCAACGTTTCCGGGGGACATTTTATGTCTCGGGGGACAGGGAACGCAAAGTTTCTGGGGGGACATTTTATGTCTCGGGGGACAGGGAACGCAAAGTTTCCTGGGGACATTTTATGTCTCGGGGGACAGGGAACGCAAAGTTTCCTGGGGACATTTTATGTCTCGGGGGACAGGGATCGCAACGTTTCCGGGGGACATTTTATGTCTCGGGGGACAGGGATCGCAACGTTTCCGGGGGACATTTTATGTCTCGGGGGACAGGGATCGCAACGTTTCCGGGGGACATTTTATGTCTCGGGGGACAGGGATCGCAAAGTTTCCAGGGGACATTTTGTGTCTCGGGGGACAGGGAACGCAAAGTTTCCTGGGGACATTTTATGTCTCGGGGGACAGGGATCGCAAAGTTTCTGGGGGACATTTTATGTCTCGGGGGACAGGGAACGCAAAGTTTCCTGGGGACATTTTATGTCTCGGGGGACAGGGAACGCAAAGTTTCCTGGGGACATTTTATGTCTCGGGGGAGAGGGAACACAAAGTTTCTGGGGGACATTTTATGTCTCGGGGGACAGGGAACGCAAAGTTTCCGGGGGGACATTTTATGTCTCTGGGGGACAGGGAACGCAAAGTTTCTGGGGAGACATTTTATGTCTCGGGGGACAGGGAACGCAAAGTTTCCGGGGGACATTTTATGTCTGGGGGGACAGGGAACACAAAGGTTCTCCGGGGACATTTTATGTCTCGGGGGACAGGGAACACAAAGGTTCTCCGGGGACCTTTTGTGTACCTCACAGACTCCAGCAGAAGGGTTGTCTTTTTCTGCTTGGTCATGCTGAGTGTGAGTGTGACGCTGCTGAGAGTCCTGTCCACTAGAGGCCAGTAGAGAGACGCTTTCTTCTGCACATGTTTGACTGAGTGTTTCAACTCTGCTGTCTGTGAGAGTTCAGGGCTGTAACGAAGGCTGTGATGTCCTGGATGAATACCCATGCACTCCCTGCTCTCTCTGTCGGGCCACCGCTGACGTTCAGAGGGTGTGAGTGGAGCCGTCCAATCAGACGCTAGTGTCCCCTGATCGTCCCAGCACAGGAGACACTTGGCACTCGAATAAAGACACCATGCTGTCTTCGTCAACAAGCCTTGCGTCATTACCTGGCAGAAACCCTTCTCTCAGCTTTAATTCCCTCAGCTCTTCTTTTCTCCGAATCAAACCCCCCTGTAAAGAAAGCTCTTTAACATGCTAACGCAGTGTCCCATCATTAACCTCTTGAAATGTCAGCTGTTTATCTGTTCCGGTTATCCGCTTACCTATCAAGGATTGTTTGATCTTTAACCTCCTATCTTTTGTACTCTCGATCCAAGTATTGTGCCATAGATTGTAAAGCAATACAAACAGTCAATCATCCCTGTACATTTTGTCGTTTATGAATTAACCAAAAATCAAAGTCTACTTTAATCTGCACACTCGAAAAGCAGCTCTCTGATGCAACTTAAGCGTCCGCTTCATTAATGCACTTGTGTGTGTGTGTGTGTGTGTGTGTGTAAACTGCATTTAAAACATGGTTATTCCTTCAGCCTTTGAGGTCAATATTATAAATGCTGTTTATTTTTTCAACATTCTTTCTTGTTTCTTTATGTATTTATATATTCATTAATTTATGCATTTGTTAATTTTTTCATTATTTATGTTCATTCATTCATTCATTCATTCATTCATTTGATCTAATTAATAGGTTAATTAATAATTTTTTACAAACCCAGCAAAAGGCAAGAATTTTTACTATTATGATTTATTATTAATACAGTAATAAAATATAACTATTATTCATAATAATAATAATTATTATTACTTTTGTTTTATTTTTATTATTTATACTTTTAATTTAAATATAAATTGATGGTCCATTTACACGACACCATTTTCAACTAAAAACGTAAAGCGTTTTATGCGTCTTGGCCGTTCATTTACACGACAACGGCCTGAAAACGCAAACTTTTGAAAACTATTGCGTTATCGTCTGTTGATTCGTCAAACCGTTCTCAAATAACGTGTAAATGAATTCGATGAAGAGCATGCCAGAATGAACGTGAGGCTTTATCTCCGCAACGAATTCTGACCAAACTTGGTGTGTGTTATGACACCCATGACCTGAGGTTACCTGCATAGTTTTGGCGCAGTGCCACCTAGTGGTCAGGAGATATGAAAAATGGCTATTTTTGCTTATAACTTTTGAAAGGTTTGCCAAAAATCACAACTGGTCACTGTTGATTTGGTGCAGCATGCCGAGTCGAACGATAACGATACATTCTTAATTGTTCGTAAAATGCGGATATTTTACGGACGCATTAAGCGCAGCGTTACAAAACTCTGAATGTGTCTTCGGCTCCATGCCCTGACACAGCACTCAAAGTTTCAGGGCAGCGCCACCTTGTGGTCAAAAGTTATAATGAAATTTCCAAAAATGCTGGTAACTTTTGATTAAATTAGCCTATTATAATACTGGTCTTAATAGATTCCTTGGCTCATGCCGAGAACATGGATACCAAGTTTGAAGTCGGCTGAACTTCCTGTCCGCCATTCTGATTTTCTTTAAAAACGTACTTTTACTCTTATTACTGAGCTGAGCCAAATGATCCGGTTCGGTTCCCTAAAAAGATCCGGAATTCCCATCATGAGGAAACAGCCTATTAGTCACGTGGGTTTAATGTGCGCTACGTCAGAATTTATTCGGCAAATGCATTTCTATCTTCCATTATTTGCATTAACTCTCAAAAACCACCTCAAGCGAAAGTAAAAACTTTTTTGCGAATTTTTTTTTTAACCAAAATATGACGTTTCCATCTCTCATTTCTGATGCGATACTTCAAAATGCGCATAAAAACAGGGTGATTGAAACATAGCTATTGTCATCTTACTCTGACCACACCATATCAATTTGGTCACAGCGCCACCTATCGGTCGAAAGTGATAAACCATTAAAATAATATCACTAGTGACTGTATTTATGATTTTTCAGCCATTTTGAATAAAATAATCTTAAAATGTATTTAATTGCTCATTGTCGCAGTTGGTTTGACACTCCCAGCCATGTTGGCATGTTTTATCCTGTTATTTGCCCCTGATAATTGCTGCTGCAGCTATATTTATTATTATTATTATGACCGTGTGGACCAGATTAACAGCCACCAGAACTGGACGTAACGTAAGTCTCAGTCTTGATGTACCTGTGATAAGCGGTGGTTCATGAGAGAGTCAGCAGATGCTGAAGATAATGATCCAGCTGCATCTGGTGGCTTTTGTCTGGGCTCTTGCATAAGGTGAAAGCCTGTTATCAGTCCTCATGAACTTCAGTCGCACCTTCACATGACTCAGATAAACATTAGACCACCGCTGGAGCGCTCGCGAGTGGGAATCACACCGTACAGTGAAGCTCAGATTAGATTGACAAAGACACTTTACTCTGTAGTGTTACGCTATATATTGATTTTTGAGTAGCTGATATGTTTTTCATTGCATTCAAGCAAACATGCAAAGCTAGAATATCCCCCTCCCTCTTTCAGTGAATTGGTTCTGACGGTTTTAGGAAATCGGTTCATTTCAGTGCATTGATTTGCTGGTTCATGACTGTCAATGGAATAATCATGACAAACGTGATTTTACTCCTGCTTTTGTTTTATGTAGCAAAATGTTTGGTTGAGTGATGTTAATCACAATTCACCATTTATACCATCTGATATATTTATTTATTTATTTATTTTGGCTAGGTTAAAGTTTAATGCTGTCACTCTAATTGTCTTTGTGCCAAAAAAATACTAATCTGTTTTTTTATTATTATTATATAATCTGACATTATCTGAAAGATATTGCTCTCTTAAAAAGCTTTGATTCAGTAAGCTACTTTAAAAAAAATAGTTGATCTGTATGAGATTAATATTTGTAATATTTATATGGTTATTTAAAAAATGAGGGTTTTTTGTAATGCAGTGGCAGAGAAATTAAATTTTAACAGTTGTTTATCTGTATGCATAATTATTATTATTAATAATAATATTGTTAATTATTATTGTCTTAATTATTCATAATATCTATATATTTAATTTAAATATACATTTAGCATTTATAGTTTTTGCTAATGCAGTGGAGGAGAAATCACAGTTTAATTCAATTTTAACCATTTAATTTTGTTCAAATTGAATGGTTGAATGTAGGATTATTAATAGTTAAAATTAATAATTATTATTATTTTGATTATTTATTAATAATATTTATATGGTTAATTGTAATAAAAATGTAGCATGTATAGTTGTTTAATTTATACTTTGCTAATGCAGTGGCAGAAATATCACAGTTCAATTTAAATAATTTTGAATTATAATAATAATTATTAATACTTGTATGTTTAATTTAAATATGCATTTATCATTTATATTTTTTTGGTAAAGCAGTGGCAGAGAAATCACATTTTAACGGTCCTTTGTTAATATTGATGGCTCAATTTAAAACCACATCTGCTCAAAGAACCAGAGAGGTCTTTGACTTTTAATGATATAAAAGTCTATAATTGGAGCACTTTTAGTTTTAGTGGGCATGCCATATTTGTCAAGGAACGTACAGGTTGTTACTATTGTGTTTGATTAGACTTGTGCAGTGATTGAATGTTCCCCTCCATCCGTTAAACAGAAATTTATAGACATTCCTAGAGGTTTGTTGTTTGGTTTCCCACCCTGCCATGAAGCCAATCATCTTTGAGACCCCGCAGGACGGTCCCGGCTCTACTATTGGCCGAGAGCGTTGTTGATCTCCTTCAATGCGTCTGCACTTTCATTATTAGCTATATGACAAACATCATCTCCAGTCAGCGTTGCAATGAACAGATATAATACTATCATATCATATATTATCATACTATCCTGTTTAAAGCTGAAGGGGATGTTTTTACACACCAACACGTTGTAATTGTAGTCATTCATTGATGCAAAGATTGAAGTTTTGGCCAGCTTTGTGTCCACTGAGTTATCTGAAAGGCTTGTTTATCTGGATGTGGGATGTTTTGGACTCTGTGCTGGAGGGTGGACTTTGTGTTGGCCAGTAATCGTTCCCAGAGAAACACCTCCCCGAGCGGAGGAGGGAAAAGCCCGTCTTGGAGAATGATATATAAAGAGGGAGCGAACCCGTCCTCTTCCCTCCAAAGCGCCGGTTTTCATCCTCACAGCCCTGTCACTCCATCAGACAGAGGAAATCACTCGCAGGTCAGTGTGTGTGTGTGTGTGTGTGTGTATAAATCAGAATATGAGTTTATAATCAAATATCAAAATTCTGAATAAATATGGGAAATATCATTATATTCTTTAAAATAATGTAATGTATTATTTGTAATGCTATTCATATTGTGTTATGAAAGTAGCTGCAATACTCTGATCTTTACCTGGAGATCATTTGCATGTGTTGTAAATATTTACACCGCCGGTTGAAAGCGCAAGTTTATATTTCTCATGATTTTACAAACTTTTTGATCAAAAGGCTCCTGCTGAAATGCTTGAAGTTAGTGCTGCAGACCATTATGAATTGTGCCTAGATATGAATTTATTTAAGAAATATGTTTAATGGATGAGTATGGAGTGTACTGTGCAACAAGTGTGTCATTTAAAAGCATCCCAGGATGCACCTCAGTTTTTCTCAAAGGTATGACTACTATATTAATGTAAACTGTGCAGGATGGTCATAATGAAGAATGTGTGTGTGTGACAGCGGTCAGTATGGTGGGTCTGAAGCCGACCGATGTTCCTCCTCCTCCGGTGGTGAAGGTCCTCAGTGCAGGAATGGCCGGCTGCATCGCGGATCTGGTCACCTTCCCTCTGGACACGGCTAAAGTGCGCCTGCAGGTACAGACGGGACGTCCCAGCACAGCCTCTGGACTCTGAGCTGATGCATTACTGTGTTTGCACCAATAATACTTCTATATATATTATTATATATAAATAATCTGGGTAGTTAGGAGTTTTGTTAATTAATTTATTTCTTTGTTTAATATTTATATTCATTTTTTCAAATTTGCATTAATAATATTTGTATTAATAGTTCAAATTGTAAAGATTTCTGAAGAATATATTATTAATATAAAAAATCAGTTTAAAATTATTATAATCTGTTCCTGAATATGACTATATTAAACGTTATATATAATACTATATATATATATATATATATATATATACATATATATATATATATATATATATATATAATTGTATTATTACATAATATATAATAATTTAAAATTGTTAATCTATTTAAAATTTATATATAATCTTTTCCTGCATATGATTGATTTAAATTACTATTTAAATATATAATATACTATATTATGTTTTTGCATTAATAATATTTTTATGAATATTACATAAATAATCTGGGTAGTTTTGGAATTTTGTCAGGTATTAACATTTAAAATTGTAAATGTTAAAATCTAAGGCACGTTTATAAAAGCTACTTGCATGTCTTAATTGAACCAAGAACTAATCCTGGCTTAATCTAAACCCTGTCTGTGCAACCAGCCCTATATATATATTAAACAAAAACACATTTTTGTTTTTAAAGTTGTGTTGCGATATTTCTTTCATTATTACATATACGTGCAACTCAAGTATTCCTCTGATCACCTGTATTGCCCCAGATCCAGGGAGAGAAGGCGGTGACGGGCGCTGCTAAGGGCATCCGTTACCGAGGTGTGTTCGGGACCATCAGCACCATGGTGAGAACCGAGGGCCCGCGCTCGCTCTACAACGGCTTGGTCGCAGGTCTTCAGAGGCAGATGGCCTTCGCGTCCATACGCATCGGCCTCTACGACAGCGTCAAGAGCTTCTACACGCGGGGCAAAGACAGTGAGTTCAGCTCTCTAACACACATCCCCGCACAGAGAAGGCGAGAGTACGATCTGTGCGGAGACGAGAGTGTGAGAGTGTTGGGATGAAGGTTTGGTTTTGGCCTTGCAGACCCTAACGTGGGCGTGAGGATCTTGGCAGGCTGCACCACGGGGGCGATGGCCGTGTCCGTGGCTCAGCCCACAGATGTGGTGAAGGTGCGTTTCCAGGCCCAGATGAACCTGCAGGGTGTGGGCCGACGCTACAACGGGACCATGCAGGCCTACAGGCAGATCTTCCAGCTCGAGGGGCTCAAAGGCCTGTGGAAAGGTGTGTATTCTGCCCCGAGAGAAGCTGTTACCAAAGCCCTACACTTTTATTAACTCAGACTCTGGCTAATATTGTATAGCCCCTTCAAGGGGGTCCTTTCAATCACTGATTGTAAATAACCTGAGCCACACATGCTCAAAACAAGACATTACACAATAACACAGAAAAACAAGAAAAAAACAAACTCAACAAGACATCATTCACAGCATGCCCCCCCCCCCCCCAAATTATACAATAAATTACATGAATACATTGACAATAATAATGCCTCATAGGGTATTCACATGACATTACAGCATTTTAATGAGCCCAAATTTACTACAATATCAATTAAAACATGTACATGGTGTCTTTAAGTATAAAAATAGTGCCAATTTAAATTAATGTAAAGATGTAATGGATTTCAATGACAATGGAAGGTTATTCCAGTCCATAGGAGCTTTATAACAAAACGCTCTTCTAGTGGTTCAATGGAGCACAAAACTCGCGGTTTCGATCATATTACGGGTTTTGATTCATGGAGCGGATAATTTTTTTGGATCAGCAAAAAAAAAAAAAAAGTAACGCTGCTTTCCATTTATTACTTAAAACTAGGGGTGTAACAATATATCGTGTCACAATATATCGCAATACAAAAATACATCAGTATGTATCGTGGATAGTGACAATCTGTATTGTGGATAGTTTCTGTGTGAGAAAAAAATTCAAGTTTACAGAGTTTTGGTGTCAGTACTACATTAAACTACTAACTATAATGTTGAATATAATGTTTAATAATGCAACTGGGGAATATTTGTGGGTCCTGATAATGCCAAATGTTACCAGTAAAAGTGGCCAACATTATTTTAAATATATCTAGTCAGTGACAGAGTGCAATATTCGTCTAAAATAATTCAGTATTTTCAGCTTCAGGATCATGAATATTGTTATTCTGGTGTCTCTGTTGTCCTGTGCTTTGGGTTTCCAGCACCAAGTCCAAGATATTCATTTACACCCACAATGTAACACCAAATTTAGCATTTTAATCAACAGTGCATTTTGTGTTAAACTTTTATCATATGTCTTGGAATATCGCATCGTGATATGTATCAAAATCGTGACCTGAGGGTATCGTTACACCCATACTTAAAGGAGAACTCCGGGCAATTTTTAAGTTAATCTTGATCGTTAGACCTTTGTGAGTACTGACTATAGGAAAAAAAACTAACCGGATTGGTGCTTGCTACGCGGAGCTGCGACCGCGAATGCCCAGAGCTCCCACCCAGCTAAAACGGCAGCTATGGGGGGATCGACATAAAGAGCGTTTTTGAGCCTCTTAACAGACACAAAATGCAATTAAAATGTCTGTCCAACATGAACAGGGACCCTACATGTGAACAAGATGTGTTTAGCAACTTAGCCATTGTTTCAACTCACCTAAATAGTCTTTTAGACGGCAAGCTGTAGTCTCGCGCTGCAGTCCAGTGCTGTAGCCGGAAAAGGTAAATAATGTCCAGGTGGGAGGAGCGTTGATCATGTGCGACGAGTTATGATCAGAGTTGCCTACAAGTGAAGAAGAAATGGCTCCTCCCACCTGGACATTGTTTACCTTTTCCGGCTACAGCACGGGACTGCAGCGCGAGACTACAGCTTGCCGTCTAAAAGACTATTTAGGTGAGTTGAAACAATGGCTAAGTTGCTAAACGCATCTTGTTCACATGTAGGGTCCCTGTTCATGTTGGACAGACATTTTAATTGCATTTTGTGTCTGTTAAGAGGCTCAAAAACGCTCTTTATGTCGATCCCCCCATAGCTGCCGTTTTAGCTGGGTGGGAGCTCTGGGCATTCGCGGTCGCAGCTCCGCGTAGCAAGCACCAATCCGGTTCGTTTTTTTTCCTATAGTCAGTACTCACAAAGGTCTAACGATCAAGATTAACTTAAAAATTGCCCGGAGTTCTCCTTTAAAGCAGCACTAAGTAGGAATTCCGTTTTTGTCAAACAGCGACCCCTAGAGTCGCTGTGGAGTACTTGTACTGTCGTGAATAGCACTCACTCAGAGATGGCTCGCACTCACGGCCGGATCCCCTCCCCCTGTACACCGGTACCTGTTCAGTAGGATGGATGCTGTAACGAGTGGAAATAAGGTGTGGCCCCTTTAAGAGCTGCGCGCGCCCTGTTTAACTGTCGGCAGTCTGTATTGTATGTGCGCCTCGAACACCACATGTATACGGCGCCGGGTTATTTCTGTTTGATGCTCATTTTATCAGAATTTTATCAGATCTGTTTTTTGCCGTAAAGCAATTCGTTACCTCGCGAGACCTGATATCACACGATACCTGATATGGGATATGGGACCCGCCGGCCCAAAGTTGCAAGGGTGGTTTTGCGGCTCACAGGCACCAGGGGGGTGCGAGACGACCACCATTCAACACGAAATCAGTAATATAAACATTACAATGACTCCAAAGCTGTTCGGTTCAGGTAAAAAAGTTACTTAGGTCACCTTTAAAAGACACTTTTAAGTTCTTCGATACTACAGCAAAAATGACTAGCCCAACTAATAAAGTTCAAACATTATTAAAGGCAAGTGAACCATCAGTAAAAAAAAGATCAAATACACTAATACAACAAAGTTACAAAGTAAGGTCTCAATAGTTTATTCAGATACAGACACGTGGGCTAATAATCAAGCCTAAATCTAAAATAACACTGTATAAATTAAAAATAGATCAATCTTTGTTAAAGCTGTGATCTGTTCTTTGATTAGGTATTTATAGGTTCTTGTCACTTTAAGACCTGATGCTTGGATCCAATATAATGATACGCATCCCATTTCCTTCTCAACAGATTAGTAATTTATAATCTATTTGTTCGCATCTTGAAGCACATTACATTTGAAAAAATGTATTTCCAAGATGTGCACAGCATATATTCAAAATATATTTGGGCCAAAATAATGTTCTTAATCCTAATTTGCATGTGTTTTTCTCATGCCAGCTCTGGCTTTGCTTAAGAAACAACAGCACTGAGTATATCTTATCTTATCTTATCTTATTTATGTGTGATTTGTGTGAATACAGGAACTCTGCCGAACATCACGAGGAACGCCCTGGTCAACTGCACAGAGCTGGTGTCTTACGATCTCATCAAAGAAGCCATTCTCAAACATAAACTCCTGTCAGGTAAGAGCCACGACTGAAAACTCACAGTACGCGAACCCTAAAAAAGCCAGTTGGATATTTCAATAAACAGGACGAGCTCTTTGATATGTCGCTCCCAACGGTCCTGTTCATAAAGCATAACATCTTGTTTTTATTTAGCATTTTTACTAAGCACATTCCCCAAAACTCAAAGCATATGCCAGCGTGTGACGGAGCCTCGAAATCAGGCCAAGAGTCCATAAGGCGACACAGCAGGAGCGTCTGTGATTGGTCAAAAGCTCACACGCCCTCCTTTTACTGTCCAACCTCCAATAACCAGTGTGGATCGTGTTGGAATCAACCAGTACAAACCACTTCCAGCAGATAAGATAGTACTGGTGCCCAGCTAACCATTACATGACATCAGCACATCTGTAGTGAAGGCCTGTGACAGCACCAGTCATGTCAGTGTTAACTTACACTACAATTAGAAATGCTACCTTGCCAACTAACTGAAATGGTTCCTTTTTTTTCTTTCAATTATCAACAAAGAATTTGAAATGTTTTAAAATAGTAAAATTACTCAAACCAAATATGAAATTACAAAACTACTAAAACTTCAAATGAAATTGGAAAATATAAAAATATATTTTTTAAATATATTTACAGTTTTCATTTTAATTTTAGTTAATTCTTTATTAAAAAAATTTTTTGTCATTTCTTATTTTTTTTTTTTATATAACTTTATTTATTTATTATTATTTCAATGAAATGATCGCATTATATTTTAGTTCGATAATGTTTTTTGTTTAATAATTTGTGTTTTTAGAGGATTTTATGCTACTAAATTATATGGAATAGTTATGATCCATGTATTACCTGAAAATTAATTTTCCAACTTGAGTCTGTCCTCCAAAGCTTTCAAGATTTATTACAGTTTAAGTTTGGTCTCTTTTTAAAGACGACACATTTCAGATTATTGCTGAAACAAACAAAAAAGGTTGTAGAAGTTTAAGTTTATCAGTATAAAAACTAGTATAATTAAATTTAAAATGATATTTTTAAATGATATATGACAAAGTATATATTTTTCAAAAAATATTTTACTCTTGAACTCTGAGAAAATCCATGCCATAAATCTAAACAAGTTGTGCTCCAAATTTGAGGTTGATATCTCCAAAAATTATTAGTAAGAGATTTTGTTTGGGAGACGTTTACCAAACGTTTGCACTAGATAAAATTTGTTTGTTTTCAATTCGTTTAATTTCCGATGCGGTCAAAAATGTAACCTTTTCAAAAGATGTGCATGATTTTTTTGTGTGTGTGTGTGTGTTCACATAGTAAGCGCCAAAACCTTTTCTAAGTTTCGTACCGTTCTGATGAAGTAAAAAATGCTACATTTTTCGTAAAAAAAATTTCGGTCAAAAATAACTCAACAACTCAAGAGGGTTAAACTAAATGAAAATGAGAAATGTTGCAATGAAATACATTTTTTTAATATTTCACTTTATTTCAGTTAACCTGTTATTGTACATTTAATGAATTTTTAAAATGTTTTAGTTAACTATAATAACTTGCACTGGACACATTGAACAAGAGCCTTCAAACACACACATATCAGTAATATGTATTCCTGTTTTTGCATCGCAGACAATCTTCCGTGTCATTTTGTGTCTGCGTTCGGCGCCGGTTTCATCACGACCGTGATCGCGTCCCCAGTGGACGTGGTGAAGACTCGCTACATGAACTCTCCTCCGGGTCAGTACAGAAGCTCCATCAACTGCGCCTGGACGATGATGACCAAAGAGGGACCAACCGCCTTTTACAAAGGGTGAGCGAGCACACACTAACACTGATCCTATCTGTCTTGCATGCCGTTTACGACTTATAGGGCCTAGTATACGACTGTGATCAGTGTAAAGGGCCGTACACACCGGGATGAATATCGGCGCGCGTTATTCGCCAGCGTTTTTCAACGCGTTTTTTGTGTTCACACCCAAGCAATTTTCGCTGACGATGAGCCGAGTGAACGTGCAAATTCATTCCCTGACATTAGATGGCGCTTAATGTAAAACAGGAATAGTCCTATGTTGTAGTCGCTGTCGCGTTTGTCATATAGTTCTTTATGTTCCGACACCAACGAGACCAGCAGCTCTACATTCATCTTGCCTTGCATCTTTCATCTTTCTCGTCTTATTTCTTCCCGGCAGTGTAGACGCTACTTGGCGTATATCTTCTTCGCCGTTACGTATGTGTGCTCGGCAAGACCGTTTTGTGTTTGAGCGCCCCCAAGTTGTGTTTTACTGTAACTTCAGAAGCTCCAGACACGTGAGCAAAAGCGCCAATCTCATTGGTCGAATAGTTTTTGACGCAAGGCGTCAAACCAAAAAAACGAACCCGCGGTGTTTTTAAATAAATGCCGTTTTTACGCGTGGCGTTTTTCGCGTCGGTGTGCACACTCACATTGGCGCCCTTTGTTTAGTCACGAGGCGTTAAACGTCGGCCTGGTGTGAACAGGCCTTTACATTACGAAATTTTATTGGAGACTACTTTCACATTTGCATCATGGTTAAATAAAGGGGTTACACTTTATTTCGATAGTCCACTTTAGACATTCTACTAACTATAAGTAACTTTTTAACTAAATGTCATCTAACTCTCATTACAGTGTAGTAGACTGTTAGGTTATGGTTAGGTGTTAGGGTTAGTAGAATAAGTTGACTTGTAGTTGCCAAGTCTGTTGGGGGTCCAACAAAATAAAGTGTCAGCAAATATTAAGCAGAAAGTCTACTAATCCTCTAATGAGAGTTAGCTGAGATGTAGCTGCAAAGTTACTTATAGTTAGTAGAATCTCTAAAATGGACTATCAAAATCAAGTGTTACCAATAAAGGTGAATAGTAATAAAACCGGATCTAATACTGTTTTTTTTTATAAGCACGCACTGAGGTTTTGTTGTCTGTCGCTTTAAATGCTCAAGCTCTTTGACAGCCAATCAGAATCCATCCTGCTTTAATGTTGTTATTGTTCATCAACTGGAAACAAAACTCATTTTGAAAGCGATTCCAACGATATTGTTTCTCTGTGCCGTTAAAGATGTGGTGTGACCCACAACCATTCTTTTATTAGAACGATTTTTGTTCTCGTTATAGTTAACAGACGAAACTTCTCTCTTTCTCCTCCAGTTTCGTTCCATCTTTCCTGAGGTTGGGCTCCTGGAACGTGGTGATGTTCGTGTCGTTCGAGCAACTGAAGAGGGCTATGATGATGTCCCGGGACAGATTCGAAGCCACCACGTAGAGGCTAAACTCAAACTCACATCCTTTCAAACACACGGACTCACACGAGCGGCTGTTTTAAACCCCTCTGGCGGGACGATGAAAACCAGATGCGCAGGCGCAGAAACTTCCACTTGCAGACTTCCGCTTTGATGCATCCCGTACTGTTGCCTGTTCAGCTTCCAATGAGCATTTACATCAGAATCAGATCATGATCGTCATCGTTTCTCCTTCAGGGCATTTTTCATGTATAAATAATTATGAAGCCACTGAACAACGATTGATCATCCATCACACATAATGAAATGAGAGGATATTCTGAACCTCATCACCCCCCTTGATACGTTAATGTACAAAATGTTTATGTAATATATTTATCTTTCCTCATTTTTTTAAGCAATTAGTGCTTTGTTTAAAGCAACCATTTACCTTAATGTTTATTTAACTCTAAAACTTTTCCAACATGTAACCCTGGAATGACCTAGAAAGTGAGATTGCCTCATCACTGGAAACCTATAAAGACACAAAGATACGCATGTATGCATCAATAAAACACCTTTATACACCTTCTGGATGTCTTTATGGGGACTGTGGAATATTAAGTTGTGATACTATGTGAAATAAGATTGATATTCAAAGAAATATGAGTTTACATTCGTAGAAATCTTTAGGCCTGCATTCATACTGATGCAAATCATTTTCGATATTTACAGTTAAAGATTTTTAATGTATTAATTGCTTTGTATTGTCAATGTGTGAAGAGCTTGTAACGAAACTTAAAAAACGAGACCTTCGTCACCTTCCCCGGATTCCTAGGTTGCCTATGAAAGCCCGTAGACTGTTTTTTTGAGGACTCGGGGGCGTTTTTGCCGGGAAAACAAAAAGGCTTTACGTTTACACGCACGTGATCGCTTCCATTCAATGGCGCATGAAATGAACAATATTCAGGATAATGCCGAAAGAGCGATTATTCTGTACTAATGTCGCTAGTGTCACGCAAAGAAGAGATTATTCAAACGGTCTCACATAGCCAGATATATTCTAGTCCCAAATATACCTTATAATCAAACTATCATCATCGTGTGATTTTACTTATTTACCTCGTCTGTTGACATGATGCCGGATAATTGCAGGGCTGGTCCAAACGTATCCATATCGCTATGATCAGATGCGTTCACCTCACATATTTACATGTTCATCTCTAACCGTCACTCTCGGCAGCGTGGACGGCGTCAGGATGTTCGTTAAATGTATATCGCTTCAAATGTATTTTAATAGAATTTTTATATAAAATAGCCTAGTATTTCAATCTAAAATAGAAATTCAATATAAATATATATTTATAAATAAATATATTATATCTATCTATAAATTATAGGAACGTCTGTCTGTCTGTTTATCGAATATCTCTCAAACCACTAGTCCGATGGATTTCAAACTTGACCGGTGTCTTGCTACGGGCACGAGTAAGTGCAGGGCCGAGTTTGACATTGTTTGGATTAGAAATGCAAAATATATTGTTAAATATGTCTGTAAAAGAAGCACACATTGAAGTTGTGGTTTAAAAATAAACATTCTGACAGCTAAACATTAAGTCAGCCACACTGTTTACTTCTGAAGTAATAAAATAGCGATTCTTTTCGAGAAATGTAGCTATTCTTTTCAAGGTTGTTATTATACAATGTAATTATACGTTTATTACAAAGTAATTATACATTGTTTACATTGCTATTATACATTACAATGTAATTATATTTATTACAATGTAATTATAGCCTACATTTAATACATTGTTATTACACATTACAATGTAAATATACGTTTATTACAATGTAATTATATATTACAGTGTTATTATACGTTTATTACAATGTAATTATACATTACAGTGTAATTATACATTTATTACAGTGTTATTATACATTTGTTACATTATTATTATTATTATTATACATTTGTTACATTATTTTGTTACATTATTTTTTTTTTAAAGTATCGATTCTTTTTGGAAAAAGTAGCGATTCTTTTTCAAAAAGTAGCGATTCTTTTTGGAAAAAGTAGCGATTCTTTTTGAAAAAAGTAGCGATTCTTTTTGAAAAAGTAGCGATTCTTTTTGAAACAGTAATGTAAAAAATGTAATTATACATTTGTGACAATCTTATTATACATGTATTACAATGTAATTATACATTTATTACAATGTAATTATACGTTTATTACAATGTAATTATACATTAATTACAGTGTTAGTATACGTTTATTACAATGTAATTATACATTTATTAAAGTGTTATACATTTGTTACATTATTATTATTATACATTTGTTACATTATTTTGTTACATTATCCTTTTTGAAAAAAGTAGCGATTCACAGTAGCGATTTAACTGAATCTGTAAGTCAGCTACACTGTTTAATTCTGAATTATATATTTTATTCTGGTGCGCTTAACGTTATCGTTTTCTCAGAGTTTAGGCTCCTGTGTAATAGTAGCCTAGGCTATTAAGCAACTCAAACATACCAAACCAACAATTACTAAAAACACACAAAAACTGATTTTGCACGGGCATTGCACTAGTAAAATAGAATTTTAATATAAAATAGATTTTCAATATAAAGTAGAATTTTATACATTTTAACAAAATTCTATTTACTTACGAAAAAGACCTTTAGCCCTATCAGGCCCTTGAATCCCGTTCAGTCTTCTTGTACATTATGTGTGCACGAGCAATGGCTGCAGTTTCACTTAACAGCCACCGGTGTCGCTAATAACAAGAGTTTATGAAATCTATATATAACCCCTTTTAATATCTATGATGTTCATTGGTTAAACTCATTTTTGTGACACAACAATGTAATAGCATTTTGCTTCTTAGCCAGATTTGGCACGATTTCAAATATGGCAGATTTTATGACCATATTTGTACATCACAGGATAAGTTAAGATCATCTAGTAAAGGAAAAAGGGTGAATACAAATGATTACATGAAATGGTGACCAGTTATAGGATGGAAGACGTGCAAAAAAATCATGAACTGCGTTAATTTCATTTTTTTTCAAAACTCTAATATTTTAACTAATTCTTATTGCCAAAGCTCTAATGAAAAGAAGCAAACATTGCGTAATAATGTTCAATCACTAATTTTATTCTTCAACATCAGGTATGAATCCAACACTATAAAATTAATTGGGTAATAAGGAATAAAAAGTCACATCTTCAAAACCAAACACCGTTTATAAATAAAACAACACAGTGTTACATTGACATTTGTGCATAAAAATGCTGTACTTTGGAATTGAGTTGAGGTCTGAATAATAATATTCACAGAACAGATTAGACATTAAATACGTGTTTATAGGCCACATCGAAGAATTGTGCAGAGGATAACGACGGGTGAGGGTTTAATACAACTTAAACGCATTTCGACAAGCAAAGAGGTTGAATCATCTGCATACAGAACGGAAACAACTTCCTAACATCTAATGAACAGAAACGTCAACTTCCTGAGATGGGTAAACATTAAGAAGCAGGAGTCATGTGTGCACGACCAAAACGTTCAAGTGTGACGGGGAAGTTTATAATATCACTTCTAAAGTATTATTAGTAATACTTGACAGTGTAAGTCTTTTCCCTGACCGGGTAAGTGTAGCTAAACAACCAGCTATGTACCCTTGATGTACACTTTACACAGTTGTTGCTTAATTATTTATATTCAAATAACGTTTCATGCACGTTGTACATTTCTCAACTAAAAACTATCATGAAGTCAATGGAAAAAGAAAACAAAATCAACTGTTGCGGTTTCCCATTGTCTTTGAAATGATGCTGGAATGCTGAAGTCACTTTTCCGGGTCCCCGCTCATGATGAGCGTGACCTCCGGCACCTGAAGTTGCCCTTTGACCTTGTCGTGAAACTTCTCTCTGTAGCGATTGAACTCCATGATGCTCTCCGGCTCCTCTTCCAACCAGAACTTATCGAACTCGTACGCCAGGTAACCTACAAACAGAGACAGAGGAAACACGAGACCTAAATTGAGAGGAGTTTCTGAGCGAAAAACAGGTCAAAAAAAAAAAAACCCCTTTTTTTTTTTTTTTTTTACATAAAAGAAACGTAAGCCTATTTACTGTAATATAAGGTGAAAATGTAATACTTTATAAGTAATATGTAATACTCAAATAAGAATAAATGCAGTATGACTTACGCACTTATGAAAAAAACTTTTTTACTCAACATAGACTTCACATTTCTGCTGAATTTAAAAATGTTTTTTTTTTACAGTATTTTTTTTTAAATATTTTTTTTAAAGTAACGAGAACGAGAAAACGAAGCAAAACAATATAGCAAAATATAATTTCTAATTTTTTATTTTGGAATGAATATTATTAGACCATGATTTTGACCAATTTTGTCTCTATCACTCTTCTAAAAAAAAAATGTAATACACTATTTTTAAACATTTCTATGGAAGTGATTTTATCTTGATATATTTTCAAATATAAATCTATCTATAACGTGTGTGTGTGTGTGTGTGTGTGTGTGCTCACAGTAGAACTGATGGAAGTCCTGCATTTGTGGTTTTCCAGAGACTGTGTTATAGAAATGAAGCTTCAGAGCGTCACTCTTCATCAAGCTGTACGCCATCTCAGTCAGATTGATGCCCACTATGGCATACGAGTACCTGCAATGACACAAAGAAATTACAACAGCTATCAATTTCACTAACTTTGTGAGTGATGATGCGGAGTAACACTGAGTGTATGCCGTAGAGGACTTACCCTAGTGTGGGGTGATTCGCATGTGACAGGACCTGTCGGGCCGCGTCGGTGTATTTCTCACTGAAAAAACTGAGGAAACAAAGAAAAGCATGAATGATCAAGGAAGCAACGGGATGAAAACATCCCCTTCCTGTAATTCATCATATTCAGAAAGGTTCCTCATACAGAAGGTTTGTGAGTCCCAGCATCCCCATCCCTCTGAAGTCAGTCTTCGGGTCATCGCCCTGAAAGCCGATGTCTCCCCACTGCTTCGTGATCCTCGATTCCAGCTTCTCTGACGGCATCAACAGCTCCCACAACTGGAGGAGAGCAAGCAAACACACACACACACACACACAGCAGTCAGAGCTGAAGCTCAAATCATAGTCCGGTATGATATCAGACTGTAAATCATGGATCACCTTCAGAAGCATGTTCTCATGTTCCTCGGCTTCAGAGTCGAACACCTCTTTTCTTAGTTCCTCAACCGCCTCAAACAGATTGTTATATCCGTTGATTTGCAACAAGCATTGACGAAGATTCACCTTAAACCTGTAAGAGATGTAAAACTGCTATTAGACCTAGATAATATCCACAACATACACATATCTAAAGTTCATTCTGTTTACAGCTGGTATTAAGATGCGTTTCGGTCGATCGGATCACAAGTGGACGACGCTAAATACAGGGGAAGAATGTCTTAATGTATGAATATTTATTAAAAAAATGCTTTGATATTAATTTTAATATTCATTTTGTTTTAATTAGGGAAAACTGATTATTTCCAACTAGATTTTTACATGAATACATTGCAAAATATTATGTTGTTGATCTTGTAGTTTCTGAGCAGTTTTTTTTTCCTTGAAATATTGTTATTTCAGATTAAAGGATAATTTTTTTTTTTTTATGTGTAATTTGTATTTTGAAAAAAGTTTGTTAACAATAAATATACTGTTAAAAACAAAATCTTACATAAACATTTAGCTACAAACTTGGCAACAGAGGCTATTTGGTCAAAATGATGGTTCCTATAATCAGAAAAATGACAGTTTATGCCGTTTCCGAGCAAAATATATACATTTGTATTTAATAATTAATAATGTTAAAAAAAAAAAAAACAGATAATCGCATATTGTGAACAAAATAAAAAATGTGAATGTCTTCATTCAGTTGGGAAAATAAACTTAAAAGTGAAGTTAAAGCAATCTTAATAGAGCCTCACTTAGGATTTTTCTGCTCCTTGATTCTCTTTTCCCGGATTATTTGAGCCAGATGGTCCTCCAATTCATTCTCCTTCAAAGACAAAGCTGCTCGCAATACCTGACCAAACACAAACGTTTAAAGTGCACTATAAAGTGAGTTAATCAGATCAATCTTGGCTAAAGATTGTGGTCCACATCAATGTTTAGCTAATACTCAGATAATAAAGTGTTGAAGCAAACAGATTGTCTTTACACATACCTTGCTTTTGGAGGACTTCAGAGAATACTCTACAAAGGAAGGCATAAACGACAGGTTTGCAAAAGTGATGCATGGCAATTCAAATACTGTCTTAAAAAAACACATTTCAACCAATTATAATCACTACAAACTGGTCACTGCATGAACACAACTTACATTTTTGGTTAAACGATACCTTGAAAGGGATAGTTCACCCAAAAATGAAAACTGTCATTATTTACTCACCCCCATGTCGTCCCAAACCCGTAAGACTTTCGTTCATCTTCAGAAAACAAATGAAGATATTTTTATCTTTTGTCCCTCCATTGACAGTCTACGCAACTACCGGTTTGACGCTTAAAAAATATCATAAAGAGATTGTAAAACTAATCCATATGAATTGAGAGGTTTAGTCCAAATTTTCTAAAGAGACTCGATCGCTTTATATGAAGAACAGATTGAATTTAGGCTTTTATTCATATATCGGTACCTCAGTGGTTCTCGCACGCCAAGCGACCATTGTGTGTGTGCTGATGAATGTTTATGTGAATAAAAGCCTAAATTAAATCTGTTCATTATATAAATATTTCACTCTTCAGAAAATTTGGACCCAACTGCTAAATTCATATGGATTTACGATCTCTTTATGAACTTTCTGAAGCGTTAAAGTGGTAGTTTGGAGGGACAGAAAGCTCTCAGATTTCATCAAAAAGATCTTGTGTTTGGAAGCTGAACGGAAGTTTCACCTGAGGGCGAGTAATGACCGAATTTTCCGTTTCGGGTGAACTATCCCTTTAACTATTTACCGTATATAAATTTTAAGGCATACACAAACAAGTCTAGTCCACACATATCCTCGTCGTCACCTATCTGTGATGTCCTCAGAGCTCCGGCTTTGCATCGGGCACAAATGCGCTGTAACTCGCATCTTCCAGTGAGAATCCGGAGGAAGCATTTCAGCCAGAAGCGCAGACAGGAGGAATAGAAACATTGCCAGATATACCCCAACATCCTCTGAAACACAAACATCACCCGTTAGTTTCAGTCCAACTACTGCACTTTCTCCCACATGTATTATTAGGCACACAACAGGAATGCAACGTACACAATATGGACACTTTCCATGCATTTTCTTAGACTGAACTGCATACAGCTCATGCACACAGCAGCTCTTACTGTCTCTATGTCTACACATAAATAATGTACACTTCATTCATGCAAATGAGCTGCTGATCCTTGTACTCGGTCAAAACAACAAGCATTCTGCTAGGAATAAGCATTATTAGTAATCTATTAATCAATAAGATCTGTGCATGACTGTTTACACTGTCCACCATCGAATCAGCCCTCAGAACTCACACAAAGCACACAAACTTTTCAACTACACGACTAATATAGCTTATACATAATCCAAAAATTATCCTTTAAGGATACCAGCCGGACAACAACACAACAGGTTGTTCATGCACGAGACATATTGGCCATCAAAAACACAAATAAGCCGCTTGAATTCAAGTTCAACTGATAACGCAATTCACATGACACTGCCTCCGTTTATACTGCTTCACGTTGAATCGCTGCTTTTTCTACCATTCAATAATATGTACTAAAGATGTTATAAAGTGCAGTAACTGTATGGATCACACTTACTAGCAGTCACTTCGCCCGGAAATGATTCGGATTGTTGCGCATGCGCAGAATAACCCAGAGGGCGCAAGTGAGCCTTTCTGTGACTTTTTATTCTCAATACATTTATCTTTACTATATAATATACATAGATCATTTAGAATATGTTATTTATATAAAAACTACACTTATCTGTTTGAAAAGTGTTAGAGTAAGAATCACTGATCTAGATTAGACCCGTCTAGACCTTATTCACAGCAGCGCCATCTTTAAAAAGCGAGGCTGAGAGGGATTGACATGAATCTCCTCAGTGGGCTGTACTGTTATTGAATGTGTTATTGGATTGTTCTGCTGACAAAACAATGCAAAATAATCTTTTCAAGAAATTTCAGTAGACAAAAAACTACAGACAACATGTGCAGAGGAAAATTATTAATAGTATGGCAATCCGTTTTATCTTAAAATGTTCCCAGCGCTACTCGTCGTAATTCCATTTTTACTAGTAAGAATTAAATAGCTCTCAAATTCAGTTGTTACTAGTAAGAATGCAATTACAGAGCTCTGCAATTATACAGATCGTTAATGTGTTTTCTTTGACCAGTAAAAATTGAATTAGTGAGCTCACTAATTGTTATTGTTACTATAAGAATTGAATAAGTGAGCTCTCTAATTGTAATTGTCAGAATTGAATTAGTGAGCTCTCTAATTGTAATGGTTACTAAGAATTGAATTATAGAGCTCTGTACAAATGAATGGAAGTCAATGGAGACATAATTTTTACTAGTCAATTTGTAGAGATCTCCAACAATTGATTAGAGTAAGAATTGACAATTGTGACTAGTAAGAATTCACCTGTAGAGCTCTCTTATTTAATTCTTACTACTAAAAATGCAATTTCAATGAGTAACGTTGGGAACATTTTAAGATATGGCTTGCCATAATCTGAGCTTTTTACAGCAGATGCTATTGAAAACATGTTCCCACATCCTTTGAATATCCAAAGATATTTTAATTGAGACTGCACTTACAAAAAGCAATTTAAGCTAATGAAAAATGTATAAACTGAGCATAACTAGTAAAATGTATCCACTTAATTTTACATAGTTTTGCATAAAGCCACCAATGATGGGGAAAGTTAATTGTAAAACTAATGTGTTAGCTATATTGCGTTATAAAAGTAACTCTGATATTGTGTTGTAAATTTAAAAGTAATGCGCAACTTCATAGTTACTAAAAAAAGACAAAGTAATTGATTACATAACCCAAACACTGAAAACAACAAAGTACAGAAAGCACTTCTTAGTTCAGTTCAGTTCTATTTTTTGGCGTGACAAGTCTTCTGTGAACAAAAATACAACAGACCAAACACAAACCAGTTTTTTACTAAAATAATTAATGAATTATAACCTAACTCAGGAAAAAAAGCATACAGGGAAACAAAGTAAATAGCTCACTAGTACAAATCAGGCCACTCACACACCCTGTGAAGTGCAGTGCATTTAGTGACAGACAAGAGTAACACCGTAACAATCAAAACTTGTGGTTCTCTGCATGTATTTTACTTCTATATCCATCAGGAGGCACTAGCGAGCTGAAGCGTAGTAATGGCAGGTCCAGAGAGCGGTGGCCATCTTTGGGGATCCTCATGGGTGGAGGTGGAGGTGGAGGCGGGAATCTGGACGGGTTCGCACCACTGCCGTCATCATTTCCGGTGTTATTGTTGTCATCGCCATTAGCAACAGCATTCACGACACTGCTAATGCTAGTTTTCTGACAGCGAAGCAGGAACACCCGCCTAAAGTGTCGACGGTATAGATAAAAGATCACCAAAAGCATCAGCAAGATGAGCAACACGAGCAGGCCACAGATGGCGTAAACACCCCGGAGGATTGTGGGAGATGTATCGTTACAGTCTAGAAAGTGAGTGGAGAGGAAAATTAAGTTATGAAAGGCAACAAGAGAACAGTTTTTGGGAAAATATATATTTTTTATTTAATATGAGAGCGGACTAATCACCCATAAACAGTGTGGACCTGTCAATATAAACTTCTGAATATCAGTCTCTTACCAGGTTCGGGAGACGCCGCGCAAACGCTCGCTCCCTTGCGGTAACCATGGAGACAGCGACAGGAGTACGAGCCAAAGTGATTCACACACTCGGCGTGAGCGTCACACACCACCATTTGTGTCTCACACTCATTGATGTCTGTTCAAACACACACAGAAATTGACAGACTGATTACCTCTAGACTAGTTCTTAAATGCAGTCTTATGAGAGTTTGGTGGCCCCAGTCACTAGATGAGTAACTTGTAAGACAAATCTTAGCAGTTTATGCAACCGGCCACGGGTTGACCTTTGGATCAACTCTACACCTCAGTAAGGAACTGACACAGCAATTGTCCTTCAGAGGTGTGTGTGTGCGCGTGCGAGTGAGTGTGCGAGCAAGTGAATGTGTGAGTGTGCGTGCGTGCATGAGCGAGTGAGTGTGCGAGCGAGAGAGTTTACGAGCGAGTGAGTGTGTGTGAGAGATGTTTCTTTGCGAGCGAGTGTGCGTGCAAGTGCGCGTGCGAAAGAGTATGGGGTTAGATTTCAATCACAATTCTGCGCGCGCAAGATCACATTTTGAGCGTGCAAAAGGGAATGAACTGAGTTTTGCGCGGAAATGTTCGTCTCGCAGATAAGAAAATATTTCGAGCGAACGAAAATCAATTTTGTATTTAAATTAAGTATTTGGATGTGCGCAGACGTTCTCTTTCGCATGTGCAGTTTCACTTTCTTACTCCTCTCATACCAGCCCTGAGTGCTCTCTAAGCGCAGAAGCTCGCTTGCTCAACACAACCCAGCGTTACAAAATGCCATAATTCCAGCCAATCAGAGATGAGGCTGCCAAATTCTGATTGGCTGGCTTGACAACCAATCACAAGACTCCCTGCATCACCAAATGTGGAAGAGGAAAAATACATGGTGGAAGATGTTTATGTGTTTGATTTGTTTAATCACTTGAACACTTCAATTTAAGTTCAAATGTCTAATCAAGTCGTATTATTACTGTAACCTACATAATGTCCCAGTGTTTCCTACACCTCAAGTGGTAGATCTAACTTCTTTCTGAACTGCAAGTTATGTAATTAACATTGAATATGAATGTGACCGAGCCGGGGTCTCAAATGTTACACGTTTTCAGAAATGAAGATGTACATACTTTTCCCCTTTTAGTGAGATAAGTGTGTAAAACCGGTACATCACTCGCATCAGAATAAAATAAATAAAAATAAATCATAAACGTAGAAATGCAATGTAATAACGTTAAAATAATAAATTTACTTTATCCTTGGAATTATTTAAACAAAAACATTCACAGCAGAGATGTTCTGTAAAAACCGTACTAAAAAAATATACTGTATATTCTTATAAACTATTTAGGATGGATAGTGTACACATTGGGATGCAGGCTTGTTCCCCTCACAAAAAAATAAAAATCTAACTATGCGAGTAATTATATAGACTTTTTTTATATAGATATAGATTTTCACACAGTTATATTTGCATGTTTGCATTGTTACCCACATGTCCCACCCACATTTTTTTTTTATGAGGGGAACAAGCCTGCATCCCAATGTGTACACTATCCATCCTAAATAGTATTTAAGAATATTTTTTTAACGTGTAACATTTGAGACCCCGGCTCGGTCACATTCATATTCAATGTTAATTACATAACTTGCAGTTCAGAAAGAAGTTAGAACTACCACTTGAGGTGTAGGAAACACTGGGACATTATGTACAGTAATAATACGACTTGATTAGACATTTGAACTTAAATTGAAGTGTTCAAGTCATTAAACAAATCAAACACAAACATCTTCCACCATGTACCGGTATTTTTCCTCTTCGACATTCGGTGATGCAGGGAGTCTTGTGATTGGTTGTCAAGCCAGACAATCAGAATTTGGCAGCCTCATCTCTGATTGGCTGGAATTATGGCATTTTGTAACGCTGGGTTGTGTTGAGCAAGCGAGCTTCTGCGCTTAGAGAGCACTCAGGGCTGGTATGAGAGGAGCAAGAAAGTGAAACTTTGCACATGCGAAAGAGAACGTCTGCACACATCCAAATACTTAATTTAAATGCAAAAATGATTTTCGTTCGCTCGAAATATTTTCTTATCTGCGAGACGAACATTTCTGCGCAAAACTCAGTTCACGCACATGTGAAATGCCCTTTTGCGCGCTCAAAATGTGATTTTGTGCGCACAGAATTGTGATTGAAATCTAACCCCATACATAGCTAGGTTTCTGAAAGCACAGAGGAACCTGAAAAGTCATGTGACAAGTGTGCGATCACCTTCAGTAGAGACCGATGCAATGACGCCCTGAGTTCTGCTGGTTTGGGATTTGATGGTTCTGTCCTGTAGCTCCTGCAGAGCCGACTGAAGATCCCCTACAGTGGCCTTCTGAAACCTCAGCCACACGATGAAGAAAACACCAGAACTCAACCTGCAAACAAACCCATGGATTGTGTGTCAGCAGACCTTCTAGAAGAAGCTCCCAGTGAACATGCTTCAGGAAGTGCTCACTTCTTCAGTCGTTTGAAGTCCAGGCTCTTCAGGGTGAGAAGTCCACACGCTTCTCGCATCTGTAAACCAATTTTGAGCCCAAAAGTAGCCAGAATGACAACAATATTCTTAATATATAAGGGAATCACAATATTTAGTGAATTTGTGTGACCCTGGATCACAAAACCAGTCACTAGTCGCACGGGTATATTTGTGGCAATAGCCAACAATACATTGTAAGGGTCAAAATGATCGATTTTTCTTTTATGCCAAAAATCATTAGGATATTAAGTAAAGATCATGTTCCATGAAGATATTTTTTACATTTCCTACCGTAAACATTAAAAAAAAATATATTTTTGTGAGTGGATGCCAGATTCCAGATTTTCAAATAGTTGCATCTCGGCCAAATATTGTCCTATCCTAACAAACATACAGTACATCAATGGAAAGCTTAATTATTCAGCTCAATTATAAATCTCAATTTTAAAAAATTGACCCTTGTGACTGGCTTTGTGGTCCAGGGTCACATATAAGGAATCATAATGGTGAGCATCACCATGTGCTCGAGAGCAGATCTGAGGGAAGAGGATCCTTCATGATGTCCAGGCTCCAGACGGACCTCGACACCCGCCTCCAGCAGCAGCTCTGAGTGGACAGATGATGTCACAGCAATATGCAGAACTTTGTTATTTTGATTTTAATGATAAGTGGCAGCTGAATGTTGAGGTTAATGTGGTACTCGGTCTGAAAGCACGTCTCACCGCCAGGTAAATGACTGTAGTGTGTGACATTTCCTGAGGTCTGCTGGTAGTGAGCTTTCTCTGTGGATGGAAACAACGGTTAATGCAAGAAAACCCAAGGTAAAGCTAAAATGTCTGGGTCATATTTAAAACTAATAATTATTATTACTAACTTTTTTAAACAATAAAATCATTAATATTGGTAATATTACCTTTTGGATGATGATGATGGATGATAACAACAATAAAAATGTATAATTATAATTATTAATAATAATGATTTTTTTATTATCTTTTCAAAACATGTTCTAATAAAATCATTAATATAGTTAATATTACCCCTTTGATGATGATGATAAAAATAATACATATTATTATTAACTTTAAAAAACAAAAATAATTACCACTTCGATGGTGATTACGTTTATTATTAATTTTTTAAACATTAATAAAATCATTTATATTACCCCTTGGATGACGATATTATTATTATTGTTATTATTAACAATAACAATAATTATGATTAACTTTTTATATATTAATAACCTCATTAATATTTTTAATATTACTACCCCTTTGATGATGAAAATAATAATAATCCACCAAATTCTGAATGAGATAAAAAATATGTATTATTATTATTGTGCAATATTAACCATATTCATTATTTTATACGCAATAATAAAATAATTAATAGGTAATATTACCCCTCGCATAATAATAATAATTTAGGCCATTTTTAATTTCTTTAAGTAATTTGAAAATGTTGGTGTGCTTGATTGTCATGAAAATAATTACAATAGGAAAACTCCCCAGCGATGGTCATAAAAGAGTCTCTCTTTATGCCATACCTAATGCTTTTTAGATGTAAAGAATGTAACTGCACCTTTAGATCTGCGGTGTAATTTGGGTTGTGCGTCCAGTGTGTCGCCGCTCTCAGTCCCTGTCGTCTCCATAGAAACGTCTTCCCCGTCATCCCGCTGTCCCACTCTCACCCACCTCACTTCCCCAACACCAGACGCCATTTTGGCTCTGTCCGGCTCGGTCTCATCGGAAGCGCGTGCTTGTGCGTCCACATTCCTGCGCGTGGCAGACGGAGAGCGAGCGACGGGTTTAACAGCTTCGGTCCAGATGTGTGGCATGCGAGTGTGTGCGCTGAGTGTGTCTGTGTGAGCAGCCTGGTATCTGGAGCGGATTCGAGACGGTCCACTTCCCGGTTGGTTTTGCTGGGTCTCAGGGGCCCACCGTCTAGCTCCTTCTTGTGACGTTGGAGAAAAATCATCATCATAGTATGCATCATCATCGGATGAAACCTCACCGTCGTAACCAGACGCTAGAACGCGAGGAGCTGAATCCATAGTTGAATCCGCGGGACTCTTTTCCCAGGATTCCCTTTTCCCATAATGGAGTTCATTAGTCTCTGAGGTGGTCCCGAACGCCCCTGACCCGGTCAGACCAGAAGAAGTGGTTAGGTTGTTCAGACCTGGCGGAGCATCCGTAACTGCATCCGCTTCATCTCCATCTAATGCTGCTTCTACCACGCCTATAGGGATGCATGGGAAGAGAAACACAGAGTGCAGCTGGTGTCAACATCTACACATCAGTCTACTGAAAAAATACAAATAAAAACTCACCTTCATACATACGTATTTATTTTTTATTGAAGAGGAAAAACATGCACACTAAAATCTATATATTCTATATAAAATATCTAAATATTTTCACTGAACATTAAAAGGCAATACATACACTCACCTAAAGGATTATTAGGAACACCATACTAATACTGTGTTTGACCCTCTTTCGCCTTCAGAACTGCCTTAATTCTATGTGGCATTGATTCAACAAGGTGCTGAAAGCATTCTTTAGAAATGTTGGCCCATATTGATAGGATAGCATCTTGCATTTGATGGAGATTTGTGGGATGCACATCCAGGGCACGAAGCTCCCGTTCCACCACATCCCAAAGATGCTCTATTGGGTTGAGATCTGGTGACTGTGGGGGCCATTTTAGTACAGTGAACTCATTGTCATGTTCAAGAAACCAATTTGAAATGATTCGAGCTTTGTGACATGGTGCATTATCCTGCTGGAAGTAGCCATCAGAGGATGGGTACATGGTGGCCATAAAGGGATGGACATGGTCAGAAACAATCCTCAGGTAGGCCGTGGCATTTAAACGATGCCCAATTGGCACTAAGGGGCCTAAAGTGTGCCAAGAAAACATCCCCCACACCATTACACCACCACCACCAGCCTGCACAGTGGTAACAAGGCATGATGGATCCATGTTCTCATTCTGTTTACGCCAAATTCTGACTCTACCATCTGAATGTCTCAACAGAAATCGAGACTCATCAGACCAGGCAACATTTTTCCAGTCTTCAACTGTCCAATTTTGGTGAGCTCTTGCAAATTGTAGCCTCTTTTTCCTATTTGTAGTGGAGATGAGTGGTACCCGGTGGGGTCTTCTGCTGTTGTAGCCCATCCGCCTCAAGGTTGTGCGTGTTGTGGCTTCACAAATGCTTTGCTGCATACCTCGGTTGTAACGAGTGGTTATTTCAGTCAAAGTTGCTCTTCTATCAGCTTGAATCAGTCGGCCCATTCTCCTCTGACCTCTAGCATCAACAAGGCATTTTCGCCCACAGGACTGCCGCATACTGGATGTTTTTCCCTTTTCACACCATTCTTTGTAAACCCTAGAAATGGTTGTGCGTGAAAATCCCAGTAACTGAGCAGATTGTGAAATACTCAGACCGGCCCGTCTGGCACCAACAACCATGCCACGCTCAAAATTGCTTAAATCACCTTTCTTTCCCATTCTGACATTCAGTTTGGAGTTCAGGAGATTGTCTTGACCAGGACCACACCCCTAAATGCATTGAAGCAACTGCCATGTGATTGGTTGATTAGATAATTGCATTAATGAGAAATTGAACAGGTGTTCCTAATAATCCTTTAGGTGAGTGTATATATGTATGTAAAATGTAAAAATGTGTATGTAAAAATTATATGTATGTGTTTTTAGATATCTTATGGAATACACAGTGTGTATATATATATATATATATATATATATATATATATATATATATATATATATATATCTCAGTATATATTCCATAAAATATCTAAAAAATAAATAAAATAAACAATTTAAAGATTTTTTACATAATAATATTAATTATTATTATTAAAATGAGAGCAAGCATTTTAGCATATTTAGCCCCTCCAAATTATTAAAATATTTTCAATGAAGAGGAAATAATTATATATATTAACATATATTTTATAAAACTAAACATATTTTTATAAAATATAAAAAAAATGTTATACAAATAATAATAATCTTAAAAATAAGAATAAGAGAGCAGAGATTTTAGCACATTTAGCCCCCAAAATATCTAAATATTTTAAATGGAGGAAATATTACAGCGGGATAGATAGATAGATAGATAGATAGATAGATAGATAGATAGATAGATAGATAGATAGATAGATAGATAGATAGATAGATAGATAGATAGATAGATAGATAGATAGATAGATAGATAGATAGATAGATAATGTATAGTATATGATATACAAGATATGCATATAGCATATTATATTCTTACAAACGATTTGACAGCACTTAATTCTAGAGAGTGAGTGTGTGTGTGTGTGTGTGTGTGTTATAAATAACTCCCTCACCATCAAACATGAGATCAGGAATATCCAGTGGTCCGAAAGCTTTATAGCGTCCGTAGAAGCCCCTGTAGGGGGCGGGCGGGTCGCCGTCGATGAGCAGCACCACCTGGACAGTGTTGGACACCGAGGTGTACCTGGCCTTCCTCCAGCACCTCTCCAGGACCCTCTGCCCCCCCGCAGCCGACGGAGACTCATCCAGGTGGATCTGATCGCTCTTCAGCTGACAGGAGTCCGGTGTCGTGAAGTCCTCCAGGTACAGGTCCACACGCTTCCCAGGATGCACCTGGATGGTCCAGTTGCACCACACGGCGGGGTTTGAGCACAGGTAGTCGGGGGAGAAGAACTCACCGCTGTCAGCGTGCAGGACCTGATGGCAGCTCCGCAGGGCATAGAAGGCGTATTGCTCTCGCCCTCCACCTGGAGAGAGAGAGAGAGAGAGAGAGAGAGAGAGAGAGAGAGAGAGAGAGAGAGAGAGAGAGAGAGAGAGAGAGAGAGAGAGAGAGAGAGAGAGAGAGAGAGAGAGAGAGAGAGAGAGAGAGAGAGAGAGAGAGAGAGAGAGAGAGAGAGAGAGAGAGAGAGATAAGCACACCTATCCCCCAAAATATTTTCATTAAAGAGTAACTCTACTGGCTATATAAAGGAATAAAAAAAGATAAATTAAAATAATGTTAATAAATACATATATTTATTTTACAAAATTAACATTTAATTTCATAATTTCTTTTTAGCTTTACCGTAATGTCTCACACAATGGTCATTATTAAATGACTCTTATTAAAAGGTTTAGTTCACACAAAAATATTAAATTCTCACTTACCCTCATGTCATTTCAAACCTATAAGACTTTCGTTCATCTTCGGAACACAAATGACGATCTTTTTAATGAAATCTGAGCGATTTCTCTCCCTCCATTGACAGGGTACGCAACTAAAACTTTGAATTGATATTAAACAGCTCAATTCCATATGAATTTATGAGTTTAGTCCAAATTTTCTGAAGAGACACGATTGCTTTATATGATGTACAGATATAATTTAGGATTTTATTCACATATAAACATCCATCAACTCACACATCAGTTGTGGTAAACTGAAGCTCAAGCATGTTCTCTTGACGTGCGTTACGCAGCACGTTTGAGCTTCTGTTTATGTCCGCTGATCAATGTTTATATGTGGATAAAAAGCCTAAATTCAATCTGTTCATCATATAAAGCGGTTGTGTCTCTACAGAAAATACGGACTTAACCGCTCAAAATATGGATTAGTTTTATGATCTCTTTACGAACTTTCTGAAGTGTCAAAGTGGCGTAGACTGTCAATGGAGGGAGAGAAATCTCTCAGATTTCAACAAAAAGATCTTCATTTGTGTTCCGAGGATGAACGGAAAGTCTTACGGGTTTGTAACGACATGAGGGTGAGTAAATAATGACAGAATTTTTTTATTTTTGGTAGGCTAAGTCTAAAGCAAGAGCGCCATATTTTCATTCGTGCAAAAAGTTCATACTTATCATGTAAATGTGACTGACAGCCGTTTACCTGCGAATGCGTGGCCGTCATTTCTGTTGATCTGCCAAAAACAGAGAGTATGAGAGAGATGTGAAGCGATCAGATGATTTATGATGACGAGTTACTCACCTCAGCACTGTTTATCAAACGCGTCAAATAGATTAATATCAGAAGAATACATCGAGTCATTTTAGAATTATGATCGTGAACTGTCTACGTTGTTTTCAGTTGTTTGTTTTAAAACATAAACGGAAGAAGCTGCCAGCATCACCTGTATTATATCTGCAGTTAATGAGATAAGTTTACCTGTCGCGCATGACGTAATGACATGCGACGCTCTCTGGATCCAACAGAGGGCGCTGCTCGATCACGTAGATGATAACGTAAGCATAATATGAATCAAGCTCTGAATCAACATGTACCAATGCTACATTTTTCTGAATGTCATAATCATTTGTTGTATTCATTACTTAAAAGCTCATTGTTTTTTGTATTAAATTATTACATTGTATACCTTTTTGCTAAACTGTGATTTTGTACATTTCAGAAATAGCCTACATAACAGTTACCTCTGATAACAGATCACTCTAAATTGTAATGTGGACTCGTGCATTTTCTGTAAAGCTGCTTTGAAATATGTATTTTGAAAAGCGTTAAACAAATAAATGTGAAGTGAATTTAAATATGACGATGATATCATAGCAAAGTGCTTGAAGAGAGTACTCTGAAAGTATATGTTCCCTACATGAAGATATATGTCGACTTTATTTTTAATCTTAAAGTAAGCTTGATAGTACAGCAAACGTTTGCTTTAAATATAGCCTCAAACTTGTGTACTTCTTTGGGTTTAAATCCCAGGTAATATCTCAAATAACCTGCAGTATTTTTGAATGAATTGTGAGGATGTGCCACCAGGATCATCATGTGATCAAAAATGACTTCCTGCTGCATCCGAAATCACATACTCTCTTGAGTAGGTACTAATTTTGAATAAGTAATTACTTCACAACCACTAAAGAAGTACGTTTTATATAAGATGTGTAGGATGAATGAATCTGGCCGTACTACCTTTGCCATGTTGTCATTATCATGTGCCCTACCAGCGCTTTACTGCCATTCACAAATCCTCTCCGTGGCCTCATGGGATAGTAAAGTGTCCATCATGCACACTTCAGAATCTCACCGAAAGTAGGAGGTTATCCGGGTACTTTTTGCCTACTCTTTATGAGTACTTAATTCAGACATACTTCTTTTGTCATTGTTTTTCGCCTATTATATAATAGGGAAGTATTCGATTTCACATGCAGCCATTGTTTTTTTGTTGTTTTTCATTTGTTTGTTTTCATTTGAAAAATATGACAAATATGGACACAGCAGAACTTTATTAGGATAAACCAGTCTATGGGATAAACACAAAACACGGAGTGCTTAACTGTGAAACGATAAAGACAAGTTTCACATATAAGGGTCAAGCCTGTTTCAGAAGGTTTCATTTTATCCATGATTAAAAATATGTGAACATGATTACAACTCATAGTGAACAACATACTGAACTTCACACTAAATATTTCACGGAAATCCCATCCTTAGAGCTCCCTATGGAGTTAACAGAGAATTATACTGTAGCCTAATGAGATTTGGCTAGACTTTGAACTTGTCTCATTCAGCTCTTTGTGTGTGTTGGACATTGCCCTACAACAATGGTCCAAAGGTCACAACTCACTTCAACAAACAGCACACAAATTAATAAAAACATCTAATATTGTTTGTTACAATACACACCTAACAAGTGTAATTGGCGATCAAACAAACAACAGCTTCCTGAGAATATGGAGGTTTAATGCAATAGAAGTCAAACAGCTCATTTCTGGTTTTCCCAAACACAAATAAATAAAAGCAACAACATAAAATGACACAAAATAAACCCTTTAGCTCATTCTAGTTATGAAAAAATACACTCTGATTTTTCACAATGCATCATATTTTAGTAATTGTGCGTAAATAAAGGCAGGAACTGTGTAAATGCAGCACAATCCCTCTGAGACGTTTAATGCACGATGTCTTTTTTAATACACTTCCTGGTCTCATTGTGAACGATTCATCGGTTCACATTATTCCAATGAAACTTGGACTTTCTTTAAAGTCCCCCTGTAGTCAATAATTGTATCTCTTAAAACTAATCTTTGATCACCAAAATTACATATTGGAAGCGTTTTTTCCTTGATTTTTTTTTATCATGCCTTTAAATATCTTGAATGTAACTCTTCTGTTGCTTCATTTAGTATAGGCGGTTCTATGAATATGCAATTGAGCCCTGCCTCCACTCACTCACAGCAGCTCAGAGATCCACTCGTTGACGATCACACGTTGATCTGATTGGTTACAAGGTAGTGTGTGACGTCAGAAACACCAGCGATTTCAAACTGTGTTTTTGAGACTGTCTTTGGTTCACTGCAGTTTTAAGCAGAAAATACTCAGCAATGAATTTACACATGGTTTGTCTTAAAGCATATTAAAAACACCACATAGGCATTTAAACAAAATTAAAAGCTTGATTTTCACCACAGGGAAACTTTTAAATATAACTTGCTCCACCCCTGAAACAAAGTCCCTTTCAGGTGGCATCACTGAGTCCCTCTCACTTTTAAACCCCGTCCTACTTGTTTTTTTAAACTTTGAATACATGCCGTTCCGAAAGTTAGACGGGTTGCGAATGCAATTTCTTGCATGACCGCTGTGTCGCACTGTAACAACTTGACACTGTCTACACTGAACGTGTCAAAGTAAAAGAGTTAGCATGTGTGGAGTACGTCAGCAATAGAACGGGACATCAGTATACAGTCGTTGTCTCTTCGGTGTAGACAGCATTACTGATTATAATGAGCTCTATTAGCTTTTGCCACGTCGCTTAGTGCCTTTCGTGTCCGGTGTAGACACAGTGGTACAGTTCACTTTAGGGTCATTTATCCAAGACCAGATCTTTATCATGTCCTGTGGGCTCCTGGGATGGACCAGAATCAAACTTTTGTAAGCACATGGATTCTCTCTGTTCTTCTGCTCAATGTCAAAGGTCTTGAAGCCCACGTGTTTCTCCGGTACCAGTCCCAGTCTCTGCAGACACATCCCCGTGAACACGTCGTCAATCGGGTACAACATGACCACACGAGAGATCTTTCTTAATCGCAGTCCCAAATTTCCTGAATACAGGTAGCCTCCGCCACCCGCGTATGGAGGGTAACCCCCCAGAAACACACTTTCAGGGATATAATACTTGAGGTTTTTGCTCCGGTGTGGGCCGGCATTAGTGATCACGTCACCAATAAACAGATCCTTTGTGCTGGACATCGAAAAGTTGCCTAGGTAGGTCAGAATATGGTGCGTGTTGACGAAAACGTCATCATCGCCTTTGAAGACGAATTGAGCAGAAGCGCAACGTGTCCCAAACCACTCCAAAAAAAGGATTTCTTTCAAGGTGAGATTGAAGAACGAGTCCCGGTAATCCCATTGCACAACGTCGCCGTACAACGCTGATTCGTGCTTGACCATATCCGACAAGTCCGGGAAGTGGTCCGTCGCAGTCGTGTTCCCAAGTAGGAAGACCGTGGCGATGCGCCGGCCGTCGAGGACACCAGCGCGACCCCATGATTCCCGGATGGCCTGCCGTCGGTCAAAATGTGGCGCAATGGACTTTATCACAAGCAAAAGGTACGGCGGTTCCAAACACACTTTGGGTGCATCCGTTATCAACGGGTACGTCCTACATCCCATGTACAATAGGAAATCCTGGAATCGCTGTGGTAGGGAACTGAAGTCTTCAATCTGTGTCAGCACTCTGTCGTTTGGCCGGCACGGACTTGTGCGATTCAGCCAATACGGGATTCCCTGAAAGTCACGAGGAAGCTCGCTGCCATTCGCAAGGGGCAGGTAGTAGATGTCGTCCAAACGCTCCTGCTCCCGATTCCAGAACGCCTTACTGACTTTTGTCATCTTCCAGAACACTTTGGGCATCATTTTCTCCCGCTTGGAGATGACCTGCTCCTTCCCGTAGCTTAGGGACACTTCCACCACGATGTAGATGAGGAAATTGGCTAAAATCAGCACTCCGAGCAGCTTGGTCCTATTCCAGTTGCTATTCATTTTGAAGATGCCCTGGCCACCTATAAACACAGAAGTAGATTCATTACCTATTGGGATACAGTGTGGAAACAGAGGTGTGGATGGTCTACAGAAAATGGTGGAGAAAGTGGGATGGGCAAACCTCAATGACCTTGAAAGTGTAGTACATTGGATAAAAAGTCAGTTAGTGTGGACTTCATCCCAAACAGAATGTGTTCAAACTAGTGCTGTCAGTTAAACGCGTTATTAACGGCGTTAACACAAATCCCATTTTAACGGCGTACATTTTTTTATCGCGAGATTAACGTTCTTTTTGGCCTAGCAAACTTTGTAGTTTTTTTCACATGCTGTTACAACAACTAGTAACGTTAGAAAAACTACAAGACCACACCGGATCTAGCTAGACCGGAAACAAAACAACAGGCACGCCGCACACACTTGTTTGGGCTTTTGAGCCGGCCAAATAGTATTAGGGTAACGTTACGTTTTGAGTGGATGGCGAGCGCGAGACGCCGAAATGGAAGAGTTTACTTTTAAAAAGTTGCCAAATGGTTCCATTGAATTCGCGTCAAACGCGTGAATGCACCAAATAAAATCAATTCGCGCGAATGAGGCGAATTCGGGTCTACCGCGACGCGGTAAACGCCTCATTCACGCCGCATGATCTCTAGACGCGTCTTTACATTGACTTAACATTGAAATCACTCGCGCCAGACGCTCTATTCGCGTTTGGTGTGAACGCACCATTACTGTTGTTCATTCTTTCTGAAATAAGAGGCTGGGTTGATGAGCCTCTAGTGAATAAAGAGCAGTGGCCTGACTGCTATGTTCAAAGAAAACTTGAGGAAAAAGAAAGTATTAAGCCATGGTTTAACTGCACTATAGGTCTAGTTTACCTTACATGTGCACTTTGTAATTTTATTTTGTATCGCCCTGTTTTGATCCCTTAGAAAGGGCTGTTTGTGTGACTAAAAGTATTTTTTCACCCTTTTATTGATGGACAGTGTTACATTGTGTAAAGATTATTTGCTCCAAGTGTAAATGTTAGTGTGAAATTAAACACTACAGTATATGCCAATGTTGTTTTCAATAAAAAAACATTTGCACAAAGCAAGCCAATCCACTTTTCCATGTTGATAAGAGCATTAAAATGAGAAAAAATAATGGGACAAAAAGAAATCAAGGGACATTTGTAATAGATAAAAATGTGCGATTAATTGCGAGTTAACTATGACATTAATGTGATTAAATATTTTAATCGTGTGACAGCACTAGTTAAAACCTCAACCATGAGAGCTCTTTGCAAAACCTTTACTGATACGGTGAATTAAGACTCTATTTACTGAATGACAGTGTGTTAAAATCATGAATATCAATTTTGATCTGTGACACTTACATACTTGGTAATAAATCTAATTTATTTCCACATATGTAAGTGGCCCAGGATCAGAATTGAAATCCATGCATTTATACACCAAGGACGATAACGATAAAGTTTTAATAATCATTCTAATTCTGAGAATAGGGAAGTCCTCAACTATTTTTTTTCCAGCTGATGAACTATAAAAACATTGAGAGTCAATCAGAATCACATGACTTTAAAGAGCTCGAGCATTTAAAGCAGCAGTGTGCGCTAATAATTAAGAAGACAAAGTTAGAATCACTGAACCTTTATTCTAGAGTCACTTGTCTTTATAATTATCGTTCTTGGTGTGAACAGACCTTTATTTTCTTAATGCAGGTTCCTGTTTTTATTATGCACCATTCATTACATTGTTGAATGTTATTTCAAATAAAAAACAATGTCACCCTAATAAAGGGACTTTCTCCATGCCACAAATTGCTCTTATTTTAATTTATTTTCTTTCTTTTTTTCATTAAAATAACTTTTTTAGCTTATTATTTAACATATTTAGAAAAAAACAGCAGCAAAATTGTCTGAAAAATTAATGTCCAATCATGTTGTGGGCCACATTTTAAACGTCATCTGAACAACTGTACAAACAAATGGATTTGAGTATATAACTAGAATTGAGCACTAAAGGTTTATGGTGTAAGTGCAGCACATTATTATATCTCAACCCAAAAAAAGACAAGTGAAAAGAGCTTCCTGGAATGGTACATCCAGAAATTAAACTCGTCATTGTTCACTCACCCATATCATTACAGCTCTTTTCTACATACACTCACCTAAAGGATTATAATTAGGAACACTATTAGGTCCCAAGCACACAATTATAATGTTCTCATTATGATTTCATGCAGCCTATATGACAGCACATGTTGCACTGAACTCTATTTTCCTTTTTTGAAGTGATTCTAATCATATTTCAAGCAATTCAAATTAAAACCATCATGGCGAACAGTTCGAATCTGAAGCGTTTCAGCTGAAGGAAATAATTAATTATTTATCTGCTTTAATATATCGGCCAAATTTAATGATAACATTAAAAATGAACATATATCGGCCCGATACCGATATGGTGGCCGATATATCGTGCATCCCTAAAAACAATAGCACAATTAATGACTTTTGAAGTCAAAATCATAGCATTGTGCATGAAAAAAATCAATTTAAGCCTTTCGACACACAAAGCTGAAGGCTTTCAGAAGGCTCAGAATAAAAACTATTTTTCTGTGTACCACAAAAACAGTAAAAACAGCAGCAAGTTTGAATTACATAAAGATGAGTAAAAACAGGACAGAATTTTAATTTCTGGATGAACTACTCCTTTAAGAAAGCGTCAGCTATAACATAGATGTCAGTAAAGCGTTAAAGTAACGGTTGGTCCGTGACTCACAGCGAGGGCATCTGCAGGGTAAGTCTAGGGTGAGATCCATGAGTGAATCCGGTGGGAAGCGTCCAGGGTTTCTCCTCCTGCGACTGTACCTAAACAGTAAGGGATGAACCTGCTGCATATCAGCCAATGTTTCATACCGAAACCAAGGTATCTCTTGATCACAGTCTCCACAGCATCCAAACATTCCCCTTTCAACCTGTTTTCTTCCTGATATGTCTTTCTTTCCTTAGTGCTATATGTCTTTCTTTCCATAGTGTTTAGTATCACCCTGAATTTCATGTAATGTCACAAGCTTCCTTCTCTCATTCCTCAAACACATCATGTGTTCCTCATGACACCAATTACAGATGTGCAGCGTCAGACTCTCGTGTGGCCAGACCTTTGACTAAACAGCTCTGGTATTCAGTTTATTTTGTCTCTCTAACCCCGGAAGAGACCGTCTGACTGGCACGTTAAGCAATTGATCCATAGTTTAGAGATGGTTTATGTAGTTGCAAAGCAAAATAGAGGCCAAAAGTCTATATTATGAGCCTCATGATATTCAGCCTCTAAACATTTTCAAAGATTTGACGTCAGCTTGTCATATTTTGCAAGCAATACGCATCAGATGGCATCACGTGATGTGTCGAAGACTAAACTCGAAAAAATGTATTGCAGGGCAACAGGTCCATTTTATGAGTGTAATTTGATCTTTTCCCAAGCATGACGTTACCTACACTCCAACAAGGAAAACTTTCCACACTGTGACTCAATGCTATCACTTCTCTAGACTTTTAAAGGGGTCATATAATGGTACATGCACTTTTTCAAGTTGATTGTACTGAAATGTGTGTTGGCAGTGCCTGTACACAACCATCATATAATGATAAAAATCCATCCAGTGTTGTTTTAATCTCCTTATATGTTTTTCCCTGCCTCAAATCGAGCCGTTCAACCGTGTGACGTCACACGCTCGGAAGCCCCTCCCACGATTGTTGATTGACAGCAGCGTTTCAACACAGACCCGCCCTGAGCGAGCTGTCACTGTCATCATAGTCCGCCATTGTTGATACGCTGGAGCAGAATGGCGTCTAAGCGATTGTGGTGTTCTGTTCTTGGGTGCAATAAGGAACACAGTCATTTTGATGTTCCTGAATCCGAACCGCTGAAGACGCAGTGGCTGAGTTTTGTTTTCGAAGGGAATATTCCCCACGAGCAACGTCAATGATTTCATGTTTGCGCGATTCGCGAATCTTTTCTCAGCAAACTGCTTTATAAACGAGGGTCAGTATAAAGCTGGTTTTGCTAAGAAGCTGCTCCTGAAAAAAGAATCGGTACCAGCTATTCGTGTTCCTGATGAACCTCCAGAAGAAGTGAGTGTAAAATTGTATTAACCTTTATTTTAATCATCGCTTCACGATGAATGCAGCTAAGGTTTACACTCAGGGTAAGTTACATTACGGCATGTTTTCTATGTACGACGTTCTCAATATAATTCATAATCCCACGTTTATAATGAACAATGCGTTATGGTTATTGTGTTATTACAAATTGAGTACGTATACATCAGTAAAAACATAGCGTTCGTACATCTCACTAAGTTACTCTACCCTGCCAGTACATACAAAGATAGATCAAAGTGACATTATGTTAACCAACCATTCAGAAACGTCCTGTTCGAGCCTTAATTGTCGAACTTCTTTGCGGCCGCCATCTTGTTCCGGGTGCGACTCCGGTTCAAACTGATACGGTTGCACAGATGTGTCCTCAGAGACTCCCGCTGCCATTCTTACTCCAAAATATACCCTCAACTGTTGTCAAGGCAACACTCCACGTGCGTTGTGTCAAAACGCCCGCAGAACAGAGAGGCGGAGTCAGTGAAGCTCATTATCATTTAAAGTCATATGCACTGAAACGGCCTGCTGAAAACAGAGCTGTTTTTGACCAGGTAAAATGAGTGTCTTCTTACAACACTAATGAAAATGTTTAATTCAAGTATATTACAAACTTTTCATTTAGACCCTAAAGAATCAAATTAACTTGTATGAAAATGGCATTATATGACCCCCTTTAATAGTTTTTTGGTGCAAGAGCTTATTAGCCGAGTCCAATCCAGACACAATCACACTCCCTCTCTGTCGGCTCAGCCCTCTTCTTTACAGGCCACATGCATGTTTCGTGCAGCATTTAAGGCCCCATCCACACTACTGCGTTTTAGTTTAGAAACGGATAATTAAAACGAATACGATCTCCATCCACACCAGCGTTTTATCTGCGTATTAGAATTGATCTCCGTCCACATTAAAACGACTGAAAACGCGGATCACGTGACCATTCACCAACACTGGGCATGCGCGTGCCGGTGTAAACACAACTTCATTGATAAAATTATCCCACCATGCTCTGGGTTAACCCCAAACCGACGCTCCATGTACGGTCAACGCCGCCGCTGCACACGGGAATTGTCACAGATCGCTCGAATAATAGCTTGACTCCGGCGCATGTAGGCAGTTACAGCGTTGTGAAATGCAGAATTTACTTGTACAACAGCTGCTAGCAAAGATACACGCCATGACTGATGACACCCAATCATAGAGCCGAGCGTGAGCCTCTACTACGTCATCGTTTCTAAGTCCTCCGTTTTGACCCGTCTACACTAAAACGCCCTCCGGAGAATCAAAACGGAAAACGGATCGGCAGCGTTTCTAAACTTCTCCATTTTGGGTCTCCGTTTTTTCCGTTTTAGTGTGGACGGGAGGTGCAAACGTAGCAAAAGGTCTCCGTTTTTAAACGAAAACGCAGTAGTGTGGACGGGGCCTAAGAGTGCTAACACATAAGTGACTGAGCAACTGCTAGATTGGCAATGGAAATCAGAATGCAACAGAGAAAAAGAAAAATAATTGAGAAAATCTGTAAATTTTACATCAGAACTAAAATGTTTTTAGGATGCAATCACTTTTTAAATTTAATGTCATACTAAAGTGTCACACACCATTACAGTAAAGTACACACATATTAATCTGTTAAAATACAGTTTTTTAAACAAACTGGGTGGTTTAAGAGGGGTGGTTGATTATGACTTCACTTTTCTAACTTTAGCTAGTGTGTAATGTTGCTGTTTGAGCATAAACAACATCTGCAAAGTTACAACGCTCAAAGTTTAAAGCAAAGGGAGATATTTTCTTTTAAAGAAATTGCTTTTTAAGGACTACAACAAATGGCTGGTAAGGACTACACAAGCGTCCTCCCGGGTTATTGACATCACAAACCCTAAAATTTACATAAACCCCACCCATGGAACACGATTTATAGATTATCATGACAGAATATGCTAATCAATGACTAGAAAATAACTACACATAAGCTACATAAATTCATCAACTAACCATTCAGAAATGTCCTGTTGCATTCTACATGTTGCCACTTCTTCTTGAGTCTCTCCATCTTTGTCTGACTCGGGTTTGAACATAAAAGGCTAAAAGTGTTTGAAATTATCAGTGCATGTCTGTGTGAGGTGAAAGGACACGAGCTGTTGAAGCTCCGCCTCCTGTGTCGGGAGCTGCAGCTCATTTGCATTTAAAGGGACACACAAAAACTGAGCGTTTTTGCTCACCCTCAAAAAGTGACAATTTTAACATGCTATATAAAAATATCTGTGGGGTATTTTGAGCTAAAACTTCACACACACTCTGGGGACATCAGAGACTTATTTTACATCTTGTGAAAAGGGCATTATACCATCCCTCTAAGTATTTTGTGATATAGGCTATATGATATCTGTAATAGAATGCGTAATAATTGCAATGTACCACCATTTCGTGCCCTGAGATAGTCTTTTCTTCTCTATCGTGAGTGAAACAACAAACAAATGTAAATAAAGAACAAATGTAGGGCGGGACTTGATTTTGTCCATCGGGAATTGATTGGATCATTGTGATTTGCTATTGGTCAATCACATGTGAGTGACACGTTGCACCAACAGGTTGTTTGTTCGGACAGTTTATTTGAACTAAATTTGAAAGCGTTTAGACCGAATTATAAGTTAACAACTTGGAACATGAAAAGAAAAACATTGCTACGTAAAGGCTAAAAAGGAGAAAATGTTGTTTTCCTTTAGATATATTTGTCTCTTTCTGAAAACTGTGATTTTTAAGGTGTAGTCAACTTCCTGGAGGCATAGACTAATGCTTCACTCTACTGTAAACAGCAATGAGGTGTGTGTGTGTGTGTGTGTGTGTTCATTAGATCTTGGAGTACACACATGTTGATACTCCTGTCATTCCAAGCACTTTCCACAGGCGTCATGGTTTATTCGCTAAAGCTCAGGTACCCTATTTATTTAAACAGTGTTGAAACGGTGAATGATCCTTAAAGCAATAGTTCACCTAAAAATGAAAATTCTGTATTTTTTCACCCTCGTGATGTTGTGGCAAATTCTCGATCTTTGGTTCAATTCTTCAAAGTCTGGTTCAGGTCTCAGAAGAAATCTTTCAGAGTCGAAGTTTCAGGTCTCAGAAGAATAACTTTATTGAGCAGTTCAACAAAGTGAGATGACGGCCACTCATCTGATCTTTCATGGGCCAGTGCTCTAGTCTTATACCTTTTTCTTATCTTTAGTATTCAATTAGCGTTTGTATTAGTATCTTTTTACACCATGGGCATCTGTATTAGTATCTTTTCACATAATGGGCATCTGTATTAGTTTTTCTTTTCACACAATGGACCTCTTGCTTTTAGCAGTCGTTTACTCAATGGACATCTTGTTTCAGTATCTTTTTCTTGGTGGTACATCGTTACATTGTATACAATATGTTTCTCTTCCAGTGCCTCCCAACACCTGCATCTGTGCTACAAGTCTTTTGGGTACTTTTCCACTCTCTTGTCCATGTCCTTATGTGCCCTATCCTCACATGCCCTGTGACCTAGTTTTTCTGCTTGGCATTACAGCATTCAGACCTGGTTTTCTCTAACATTACAGCATTTTATATTCAGACCCATGTATGAGACATGTATGAGACAAATGAAATTCCCCAACACATCCCCCCTTTGGGACTTTCTCTAGTCCCACCTTCAAACCGTTCTTACCCAGGGTGTGTGCTCATGAACAGATCTCTCTCTGCATTACCTTTC